CCATCTACCTATACGAGGGTTTAATTGCTGCTCATTAATTGAATATCTTACAGCATTACAGTCTGTAATGATCTTAAATTCTACACCTATCAAGTAATGCCTAAATTTCTGTAAACCCACTACTATAGCCAGAAACTCTAATTCAAACGAGTGGTAACGTTTTTCATCTGATGATGTCTGTATGCTATAAAAATGAATCAGCCGTTCTCCTCTATCCGTAACTTGTACTAAAACACACCCTAATCCTTCGCGACAAGCATCAGTGTATAATAATATTGGAAGGTTTGGATCAAATATTGCTAGAACCACATTGCTTAGTAATTCGCTTTTCAGATAATTAATGGCTTCAACTTGTTTTTCTCCCCATTCCCAATCAGAATTCTTTTTTAATAAATTTGTTAATGGCTTACATATAAGCGCACAATTTTTTATAAACTTTCTGAAGTAATTAATCAGCCCCAGAAATTGTCTTACTTGATGTATATTTTGAGGCATGGGATATTTTTCTATAGCGGTCAATTTCTTACTCCCTGGTCGTATACCTTCCACTGAAATCTTATACCCCAAGAAATTTACAGATTTTTAAAGGAAATGACACTTATCTATATTAATGGTAAGTCCATTAGCCCTTAAGCATGAAAGTACTTGTTCTAAACTCTCTATATTCTCATCTAAAGTAGGTGTTCCAATTAAAATATCATCCATATAGCATATTACACTTTTAAATCTCAATTGTCCTAATACAGTATTCATTAAACGTTGAAACACTGACGGCCCGTTACACGAACCTAACGGGAGTCTAACGAATTCATAATGTCCATCAGGTGTTATGAATGCAGTCTTGTGTATAGAACGTTCAGCTACTTTTATTTGGTAATATTCACTTTTTAAATCAAGACTAGTAAAAAAATTGCACCCTTTTAACCTATCAATTAAATCCTCTACTAAAGGCATTGGATATTTTTCTTTGATAGTGACTTTATTCAATCCACGGTAATCTACGCATAATCGTTTTTCCCGAGAAGGCTTATCTACTAAAATAACGGGACTTGCATAAGCTGAATAACTGTTTCGAATTATACCATTTTTCAGGAGATCATCCACTAGCTCTCTAGTAATTGCCCGTTCTGATTCGGACATCCTATATGGTCGCTTGGCAATTGGTTTATTCGTGGTCAACTCGATATCTAACTCAATACATGAAGTTTTGCCTAAATTCGTTAAATCATTAGAAACACACTCCGAATATTTTGTTAAAATTTTACCTAACCTAATATTAATATTTGCTTCTGTATTTACCACAAGACATTCTAAATTTATTGAGTTTCTATTCTCTGCCAATTGAAAATTTAAAACATTACCAACTCTGGTATACATAATACGTGGGTCTTCTGTAAAGTTTCTACCAATAAGAATATTACAATTAGCTAAATCTTCGATAATGTAAAATTCAACTAAAATTTCTAAATTATCAATGTGTAATAACACCGTAACAGATTCAGTAACGTCTGAATAAGACTTATTGTTAAATCCTACTAATTTAATCGGCTTGCCCAATTTCCGTAGTTTTAATTTAAACTGTTAAAAATTTATTGTCGGTAGACACAAACATTTTACCATGTAAAAATGAAGCCAAATCATCGCAATATCTAAAGCTACCTGCCTCAGCTGTCGTACAAATATTTCCATCATCATTTCCATCAATTGAACCTATAATTATGGAAATTATATCTTTTTCAGAAAAGGAAAGCATTAATCTATCTATTTTACATTTTTGTTTAAAATAAAATTCATACAACGATTGACCTTCCGATGGTTTACATTCAATAAGGTCTTTCAATAAAACGTACATGTTGCGGCTAACCTCGAATGTGTTTAACAATATTTTACGCCAGTCAGTCCATTTCCAGGTTATCCAATTAGTCTCAGTTTTCAACATAGAATCGTACCATGTTTTGGCGGTACTTCTTAATTTTTGTAGTGCCTGATACTTGATTACATTATCTGACCACCCAAAAGTGCGAGCATTAGCGTCCACTACATTCAACCACATATATATATCGTCCACCATCGGATCGAATTCGGGGATTACACTTGATAATTTAGTATTTTGACTTACAGTTTCTAGCCGCTTACTCTTTTTACGCCTTGATCTTCTCGAGTCTTCATTCGAGCTTGATGTGCTAGTTGAGCTTGAAGTAGATGACGTAGAAGGCTCCCGTGCACGGCTGCGCCGCCGCCGTCTCTCGAACGAATTCGTTTTCTGAGCGCGTGGCATAGCGAGTTCAAAATAAGTAGCAAAAGTATCCCACTTCTGATATAAGTGAAACAACGTTTTTGCTCTCAATCTGTATTTTTAAGTAACTCTGGACTATATGTACAAATTACAATTAAATAGCAACGCTAGTAATTATGTGACCGTCCAGGAACAGCGCCGAAATGAAAGTGATCCGTGAGCGCTGCTCCATGCGACCAGGTGCCTCATCGCTCGTATTGATGACGTCATAACCGGTGTATAATGTTGCCCGCGACAACATATATATATATATATATATATACAAGAATTGCTCGTTTAAAGGATAAGATATTAAACTACCCTTAAATAAAATATTAAGACCTCACTGTAGGTATACGTATGATATACAGTGAGGAGTTAATATTTGGCACTCGGAATACTACACTTATAGCATGCAAAATATACATAATGCCGTTTTAACTGTGGTAGAGCTACGCAATAGTCTTCTGTTGCACGAATGGACAGGTCCGTCCGGGGAAGTACCGAGACCTCAGAGAAGGCCGGCGTCAAGTGGGTAGTTATAATTTTGCGTTTACTTTGCTTTAAACTACTACAGTTTAAAATAATATTAGTACCTAGTAGAAGTTTTAAATAATATTTCACTAGTGTTTCAAAATGACCAGTGCGTGCTAATTTATGTGTTGTTTATAATTCGTGCGTGAAAGTACTACAACCTCAGAGAAGACCAGCGTGTAGTAGAAGTGTTATTCTTCTTCGTTTCGTCTGGTGAGTGAGGAAGCCGGGTTCCACTTTATTACATAGTGGCAACGAATCTACGAACCTACGCGTGTTGCAAATTTCCATCGGCGGCGGTTATCGCTTAGCATCAGGTGAATCGCCAGCTCGCATGCCATCTTAACTACATAGTATAAACAAAGGTGGTCCTATGTATGCTTAGATCTTAAAAACTACGCAACGGATCTTGACGCGGTTAGTTTTTATTAGATAGAGTGATTCAAGAGGAAGGTTTATATTTATAATACGTTTCACCCGTCCAAAGCCGGGGCGGGTCGCTAGTCTTATATAAGGAACATGTTATTGGTGTAGCGGGTAATAAGGCCCTTTTTGTCAGACGAGAAATGTGGCTAATGAGTATACACCATTCATTGCGTCTCACGGACCAAAGCATGATATTTCACTTTCATTCAGTACTCAGAAATGATGCGCATAAAGAAGTTTTCACTTCGTACAAAGTTTGTATTCGATTTACTTTCGTTGGTTTCTCAACATACTATTAAAGCATCATTTTTAACAACGATCGTGATACAATAATTACTATTTATTTATTTGGGATTTATTTCACATATTTCTTACTTAATGTTATATTGTTAATCTTACTTAATGTTATGTTGTTATATCCGTCGTAAAACTTATGCCTAATTAGTGGAACACACGAGCTTAGTTCTTCTCTAGTGTATGACTCCTACATACCGCTTTGTTATTGCGCCTCGCTACTCGGTATGTTGTTTGACTTGTCTCACATTTGTGTCTAGCGAAGACTGGGCATGAATACATGCTGATACCACAAAATTTAAACATTACAGGATATTAAAACATGTAGAAAAAGATTGTCGCCGCTGTGTGAATCGAACCCACATCTTCGGCATTCGCGGCCTGACGCTCTAGCCACTGAGCTAAACGGCTGTTAGCCACAGCGACGAAAATCTTAACGCCTTATTTCTACATTGTTATTTAGCATTTGAAGCAATGCTTGGCGTATCTATTGTAATCTCTGCACTTAAGATTGAACATTAAAACATGTAGAAAAAAAAAAACATTCTACATGTTTTTTTTTACATTAGCACTATAAATAACTTTAAAATTTATTACAGGACATGTTTTTACACAACGCTATCTAGTCCCAATCTAAGCAAAGCTTGTACTTCTAAACATACTTTTCTTTTTATATTTAATTATAGATTCCATATACTAGAAAAACACACGCAGCAGACTGATCCACTATTCACCGCGCTATATATATCTTCTTATCTATTATATATATCAGACATTTCCACTGATAATTGACTCATCACGATATCTCTGGAACCATAAGATGTAGAGACTTGAAATTTGGTAGGAATATTCCTTTCGCCGAGTAGAGGTCAGCTAAGAACGGATTTTACGAAATGTTACCTGTTGGGTCCGCTAGTATACAGCGTGTCGTTACCATCGCGACAATAAATGAACACATATAGGGGATAACTTTTTAAAGTTGTATTAAACATTTAAATTCTTTAAACATCAATATTTACAGAGTTATTAAATTTTCCAAAACAAAGAATTTTAGAACACCCTTACCTATAAAACCGTAACGTAAAGTTCATTTGTAAAGATCACAAAGCATTTGAATGAGTTGAATGAATTGAAAAGAGACAAAACATACTGTTAGAAGGAGAGGCTTGTAATACGACGCTGTGATGCGAGTTGTATAGGATGTTACAAATTTTGTTTCTTTTTTACTTAATTACTTTGTTTCAAAAATATTTTTTTTTATTTATGGATTTTGTTTAACGTTAATATTTTTTTATGATTATTGGCAAGTAGCGTTAGACGTGTGTTCATTTATTGTCGCGATGGTAACGACACGCTGTATATATATATATATATATATATCGGATTATTCCTGTCATTGTAATTAAAAGGCATGAGTGTGTGCATTTTTTATTCTTACAATAGTTGCCTGTATACAGCGAGATTTGTTTTAGTGTTTGACGTTGGCCGGAGGAGGTAGGTGCAACTTGGCGGCGAGCTCTTGGGGCACGTCCAGGTAGGTGCGCTCCAGGCCCACGGTGAGGATTAGGGCGCGGAGGCGGTCCACCTCCACGGCGTCGCCCTCGCTCGACCAGACCGTCATCGAGGAGTTCAGCGAGGCGGTCTCCCGGAGCAGGTCTAGGAGCACCGGCTGGCTGTTGGAAGCCAGGCCGGCGCGCACCTAGAGCACAAGGAATTAGGGCCAGATTTAGAGGTCTGGAGGCCTCGGGGCAACAAACGAGTGGAGGCCCCTTGGCCCCAAATTGTTTTCTATTGTTTCCTGTTATTTAATGTAATCATGTTTGTACAAAGTACTGTAGGTAAAAATATGACGCTAAAAAATAATATGAAAGGAAAAGTTGTTTACTATTTACTAGTCTGAATTTGATTTTTTTTCCAAAGTCTCTATTGTGGAGGCCCCTCGATTGAGGCCCCGGGTCTATTGCCCCGGTTGCCCTCCCCTAAATCCGGCCCCGGGAAAGCCAGACAAAGTCGTATTCGGAACATCTCCATCCCATTTCGGCTTGATCCGAGCTCTAAGTAATTTCAAAGCCACCGGTTTACTAGTCACCTGTTCATTCGCCACCAGGTATTAATTTCGCCACACACAGGACAACTGCTTGTGTGACCCACAGATAAATGTTTCGAAACTTGGTTTATTTTCGTAATTATTTCATCTTTAGTTTTGTAACAATTTTTTGGTTGTGTCTCTACTGTCTGTTGAAAAATACTTTTTACCTATAATTAAGGTACCACTCATCACTTTTTTGTAAAACTTGTTTATTTTCGGTGTGTAGTTTGTTGGTGATAAATAAATAAATAAATATTTATGTATGTAAAACGTCCTAACCCCACAGGATTATGTTATCCTACAGCGAGGGCATTGTTATAAAAAAAATAATTAAGTCTATTCTTATCTAGTCTAGAGCCGTGATAACTCAGTGTCCGGGCGATCGCATTTAATTCAATATACTCGAGCAACCTGAGTTCGATCCCCGGTGCCGGCACCAATGCGATTGTTAATTTTAAGTGCTGACTTCATCACGTGCTCAACGGTGAAAACATAGTGAGGAAACCTGCATATTTTCGAAATAACAAAAAAATATTTCGAAGATATGTGAAGTTCGCCAAGACGAGGACAAAAATGAGGACCCTTGCCCAGCAGTGGGATATGTATAGGCTGTTAGTTTACTTCTCTTTACTACTATTCTTACCGGGAAAGTGACCGTCTGATTGACGTGTTCGTTCACGAGCCGCAGCATGGTGCCGATCTGGTCGCGACTGTACTCGCCCTCGGCGATGGCGCCGCCGTAGTTGGTCGTCCAGCCGAGGGAGAGCACCGCCCGCGGGTGCTTCGCCCCCAGCCCGAGGAACCGGAGCGGCTCCACGGGCGTGGTGGTCGCGTTCACCGGGCCCGGCAGTATGTCCGCGTTGAGCCACAGAGGAAAGGTTACCTGACGGGCAGTCACGCCGCTATGAATACTATAGCTGTAGCCACGGCGTTGAATAGGTCACGAAAGATTCTTAACCCTGAGAATTGCCAATAACATTTTTAGGGTTTCGTGCCCAAAGGATAAAACGGAACCCTATTACTAAGACCCCGCTGTCCCTGTTTGTCCGTCTGTCGCCAGGCTGCATCTTATGAAACGTGATAGTTAGACATTGCAAATTTTTACAGGTGATGTATTTCTGTTGCCGCTATAACAACAAATACTAAAAAAACAGAATAAAAAACATGTATAAGTGTAAGACATGATGTTTGCCGTTTTTATAGAAAACGTATGAATGGTGTGTTTTTGTCTTGTAACAATCAACTATAGCTTTAACCTTAGTGATATGTTAATAATTGTACCGGATCAATAAAAGCCTCTTCAGGAAGTTTAACAGGAAGGAAAACTACTTCTTGTCATTTTTAATTTATGATTTTAAATCCATAACACCCGTAAAATGTTCGCCGTTAATTCGTAAAACAAACCTATAACGTGTAACGTGTTGTAGTAATAACAAAAAAAAACAATAAAAAATTCTATAACGTATTCACGCTCCGTTAACATACCGGATCCAGAGTGTTTGTTATTTGTCTATAAATAATCATTAGTTGAGCTGATTGTACTACTGTAAGTATTTTACTTAATGTGCTGGTAAATAAACGTTCGTTCCTTTAATTTATTTATTTACTTCTCCAGGCCCGATGTGATCAGGACTGCGTGATTTTAATTTTTGTTTTAATAACATACTCCAGAGATAATTTTTTCTGTAATTTACCGAACACTAGCGATCCGCTCCGACTTCGCACGGGTGCAATGTATTATACATATAAACCTCTCTCTTGAATCACCCTATCTAGTAAAAAAAACGCATCAAGATCCGTTGGGTAGTTTTAAACATCTAGGCATACATAGGGACAGACAGACAGCGAAACGACTGTTTTATACTATGTAGCGAAAAATTGTCCTCCTGATAGTGAAAAATATATCATTAGTTTGAATAACGACTACTTTGATACTCCTTTGATTTCTTCTTTGTAAACTACTTAAGGGAGAAAAACACAAGCAAGCATTTCTTATGATTTTACTGTACATATAATTATAGTTTCGGTTAGATTATTAATATTTATCTATCGTTTAAAAATATTTGTGAGTGAAAAACAAGTGTCGTTATTACAAAATTTTACCGGATTACTAGATTTTATCTAGTCTGACTATCTTTTTCCATATCATAAAAATAAAATCTGTCACATTTACTTTTATGTTACGCAGTATGGATGCGTCATCTCATACTTATAGTGTTATTATATATAGACATCATTGTCGGTGTTAGCAACAAGAACTAATTCACAGTGACAAACATCATTCAAGAATGAAATAACGCGATGAAGTTGTCTTCTGTAAGTACATTAATCAGCCCATTCGCATCCGATTTAACTATAAAATCGCGAGCATGTCTATGAAAATGCATAACTCCCAGTTGAGCTCGTTAAATAATAATTGCTTTGGACACATTTAGGCAATTAAAATCACCCGCCACAACAGCTACAGCTCCCGGCCGCTGACATTGACAGATGTCAAGCGAACTTGGGTCTTGCCGCCATGGAATAAGTATGAGTGATGACAGTTATGTGTTCGGTGTTACCAGTGGAACAAATTCATACTTTGGTAGTTTGTTTTAGAGCTCAATTTGAGTGTGTAACGACGCAGACAGTTAAATTAGGGATGACGAAGCGTGTCAATGGTGCGAATTAGTTGTAATAATTTTTGGAAGTGTCGTACGAGTCTAAAGTATGTACATAAAAATGCATAGCTTTATATCTCTAACAAATACAATTGATGACAATTAATGGCGTTACATTGATTATAGCTAGGTTTATCTAACAATAATGCAATAGACGACGTAATATATATTCAAAATATTATTTATAAAGTTTTACTGCGGTGTTTAGAAAAACAAAATGCGTTTCCGGATATTTGAAACTTACTTAAGCCAGGTCTTTTTAAATTCTTATAGAGAAAAACATAAATTAATTCAATCTGAAATAAAGGGATATAATAAATATATAATAATTAAAAAGTATTTTGACGCTAAAGTTTCGTGTACGTTAGTTACTTCAAAACGTGTTAGTTATTTTAGTTTGTTATTAACCGAGATTTCTTTATGATCTAGGGTCATTTTATATTTTACCAGGTTCGACTGAATAAGTGAAAGTGATGTCCGTGTGTTTTGTATCCCAAAATAAACGGGATTTAAAAAAAAACTAGTTTACTGTATTTTTTTATTATTAATATTGTTTTTCTCCTTACCCATGGACCATAGCCTTATTTTTGAAAACATTTTACATAAACAACTGACATCATACAACACACATCTTTATCAGGATTAAAAGGCAAATTAATTTTGTGTATAATTTGTGTATGTCCGCAACAGCAAACAATTTTTTAAAATTTTACTTTTCTTCTTTAATACAAAGTTTTGGTGAGGCGTTTCACAAACGAAACTTCTATTATTTTATTTGCGTTTACCGTCTAAGAGCATTCGTGGTGGGCTAATAGCACTAAACACAAAAGGAAGCTAAGGAAGATTTTTTTTATGTCAGAAGATGGTAAGCGAGCTGGCGGTTCATCTGATGTTAAGTGATAACCGCCGCCCATGGACATTGCAACACCCGTTGAGTTGCAGATGCGTTGCCACCTTTTACTAAAGTGCGCTTCGGTTACCTCACTCGCCACAGAAAACTCAGAAGTATAACACTTCCACTACACGCCGGTCTGGTTCTTTCCCGGACGGACCTGGCCGGTCGTGCAGCAGCGAAGACTTGCGTGGCTCCATCACAGTTAGAGCTTAAGGAATTAAGGCAAAAACTCCTCACCTCGGGCTTACTGAACTGCGCAATCTGCTCCTGCGACTTCTCGAACGCGTCTATGCTCTTGAAGTCGAGTTTGACGCCCTTCTGTTGGGCTTTGCCGTTATTGTGCTGCGCCACGGTAGACAGAAAATCCGCCAGGGATAGGTCCGAAGTGGTGGCCGGGGGGTGCGCCATGATAGGTATGGGTGGGCCCTCTTTACCCACGATCTGGCCTATCACGATATCAGCTTCCAGCATAGATACGTCGCCTGATTGAGCAAGAGAAACAGTTAAGATGTGACAGGTTTTTCTGTTGAAGAATGATAACGGAATGAATTTGACTTTTCTCTGGAACATGTGAGTTGCCGCGATTTATATTTATACTTAAGTCTTTATTTATACTTACTGTCGAACAATACTTACTGCGAATCTCATAAAATGTTACAAACAAATGTTATTAAACTTCGAAATGTAGGATATGTTTTAATTTTGAAGCATAAGGTCAAGGTGACAATATTAGCTTGTTACATTAAAATTTTGGAACTTGCATTGTCTTAAATGTGAGCAAATAAACATGAATATTACTCGTATTCAAGCATAATATATTAAGTAGATAAAAAACTAAAATTATAATTGAAATATTCTATTGCATTTATACAATTATACACCAATCCAGCAATAACGAACACGTACAGATGAAAAATATTAAATAAAAAAGTATAGGCTCAGCCTTATATTGTTGAACTAAGGCATCGCTGGTTTCACTCGATAAAGTCCTAATCTAACATAACCTAACTTTTTATGTTGGAATACATATTTCTCCGGTCGAATATCGTGAGACCATCGAACTCGCATTAGCTGTACATTCATCCCGTTCTAGGTTATTCAATTATTCGAACATGCAAGTGCTGTGCTCGGGACCGGTGTTCGGTTTTAACACGCTGAACCTAAATCTGTCACAATAATTGTTATTAATTGCCAACAGTTCTTAGAAGATGGCGTTCGGCCGGGAAGCGTGGCGGTATAGATTCGGAATCATCAGCTGGACGATTATGTCAAATTGACGTAAAAACAGACTTTTCCCGGTTCAAACTAAAATATGGTAAAAGAAAAATCATCAGCTATCTCTTTCTACCCAAATGGAATAAAAAAGGTAACGCTTTTAAAAATAAATAAATAAAATAAAATATTGAATTTTAATTCACTGTATTTATGATTCTAAAGTTTTATTGTAATACGAGCTGTTAGCCGCGGCTTCGCCCGCGTCATTATCTAGATTTTGGACAAATCAAACAATATCTTTATAAATGACAGCCTATGTGTTATTCAGATGTATAAGCTATATTATTGCAAAGTTTCATTAAAATCTATTCAAAAGTTTTTGTGTGAAAGAGTAACAAACATCCATCCACATACATACAAACTTTTGCCTTTATAATATTAATAAGGATTTCAAAAAATTGTTCATGTGTAAGAAAAACTTATTCAGCATAAACTTGTTTACCTCAGGCTTTTCTTTTTTCATAATATATTAGTCAGTCACAATACTTCAATTTCATAATTCTACTACTACTTATTTTCAATAATTAATTCGTCCTAATTTTATATTAGCTCGGAATTTTCAATTTAGTTCTAATGTATGACTGATTTTCATCTAAAACTTATATTTTTTTTTGGTTTGTGTATCCTTTAACTCATTAACAAATTATTAATACTTTTCTAATAGTTTAACTGTCGTAATACTCTGTGGTCGGAATGAGCTTATGTTAGAAGAAGACAATTCGGGATACAAACACTAATATTATTTATTTTCAACGACTGGAATTCAACTCAATCTCTATATAATTTCAGGATTGCATTGTCATTTGTCTCTCATAGAACGGTGATCTTTCATTGTCCTGCGGCTGCTTTTATTTTAGTGTAGTTGATAACACACTCTGGTAATGAACTGATCGCTCCAGGCTCTTTCAATCAGAGTCTTTATATTGTATTTTTAATGAATTCATGTCAAACTGCTTATATTAAAAATAAATTTAAAAAAAAAAGCCCGCTGAGTTTCTTCCGCCGGTTCTTCTCAGTACAGTGGCTTTCTTTTCCGAACCGGTGGTAGTGTTTTGACTATCAATAAGCGAGTGTAATGCTCCTATGTTGAATAAAGACATTGATTTTGATTTTGATCTCATATTTAATTTCCACGTTAGTTAGCTATATAAAATAATTATTTTAAATGCTGACTTATCACGTGCCACGCTGTGCAGGAAAACTTTATATCCTGTTGCTGGGCAGGACATTTATAGTCGCTTAATTGTTGCTCATGATATCATATCAATTTTACCTTAATTAATTTAATAAGAATAAATACATAATAAAGTGTAACTATATCTCGACACATTTTAACGTCATTTAGTCCCAAACTAAGCATACTTAAACATACTTTCTTTTGTAAATATATTTAGCTTTATATATTTTGTATTTCTGTTTATATATTTTGTAAATATATTTATGTTTTAATCTTATAAGCACACAGATATTATAACAACACTATTGTCATCGCACTATCTTAACCGTAGTTGGGATCGAATTCACAACCTATGGTGCAAGAGACCGGCTCGCTCTCCACTAGGCAATCGGGGCATCAATCACATGTCAATTAGGAACCCGCCCATAACTTTCACTCATACTAAAATGTAGTTTTATATACATCTTTTAGATAACATGAAAAATAACTATATTATTTTTTTCTTACTTGCTAAAGCCGCCTCCAAGTAGGTCTTGTTATTTACTGCATGTGCCCAAGTGACAGTCGTCAGATTCTTCATTATTTCTTCTTCCCCTTTGACCAAAGTGGCTGAAAGAAAGTAATGAGTTTAACATTTGAGGTTTATGGGTAAATTGTTGAATAAACATTTCAATGCATTGCGGGAAAAAGAGAATTTTTCATCAATTTATGTATAAAATAAATCTTAAGTGCAGATAAGCATATAAAATTTAAAAAAACAATATTTAATAGTTAAAGGAGAAGTTCCTGCACTTTTAATAGTTCAAAAAAATTAATTAATTCTTTTTTGGTGCAGAAAAAGCTAATTCAAAAAATATAAAACTTCAATGACTCACACAATGCTAGGATAAGCTGTTAACTAAGACCGAAATAAGTACAGTAGATGGATAAGTTAAAAATTTATATTTATTATAGTTATTTCCTCAAAAATTATTTACAACGTTTAGTTAAAAATATTATTAAATATAAAATAATTTTAACATATGATTTTATATTATGGCAACATAAACGTGTTTTTTTTTATTGGGCAATCTAGCAAGTCAACATTACGCAGTGTCATAACAATGAAATCAGTATGTAAAAATAAACAGCTTAATGTTGCGTAAAATCGTAGCAAGTGTCAATTTTAAAGGCATAGAAATAATAAGGAAAAATAGCGCACTTAGTTTTAAAAATAATCACAGACTTCTTTTGACCGCAATGCGTTTTAGGTTGTAATAAACGATGACAGCACACTTTAGAAGTCAAGTACGAAAACCACAGATTAGAATTCGTTTATGATGATTACAGATTGTGGCGCTACTAGTAAAGTATGACTGGGTATGACTACATTTTCTTTAAACCTGACGACATTTTTATATTTAATTTGGACTAATTAAACTACATATAATTTTTTTTAAAGTAATTTAACTATAATGAGTAACTACAGTTGTTTATATTTAACAACTGCAGTTATGATACGCGGGACTTCACATTAATTTGACATTAATAATCTAAAGTGACATTACGAAATAAAGTACCACATTGTATTACGTTAATTTTTTGTTTAAAATTTAAAACATAATTAAGGAACTTCATATACGAGATCCATATTTGTATGTCAATGTCCCGCGTATCAACCTATATTTAACAGAGTGTAATCTGTTTCGACATTGTCAAATTAAACAGAGATATATTTATTTTATTCCATATTTCGTATTGCATTTTATTCCTATGAGATATTTGCATATAGAAAATCTTTTCTGATTGCTTCTCTTGTGATTTTATTTTTTGTGTGATTTCATAATAAAATTAAATATCGATTTTGGCTATAGATATGTTTAGCGTAAATAATAGATTGACTTTTCTAATTTTCTTTTTTGAAAATAAATTTATGAATCAACAGTTTAAGCGTTTTCAACGGTTTCGTTATTTAGATCATTTAATTATATGACAAATATTTTTAAGGATTTTGTTATGATTTCACCGAATGTTATTTATATAAACAAATCGCGGTAATTTTGTCTTATTCACTTATTTTTAATTACTTTGAACTTTTTGGTCTGTGGTCATAGGAAAGACAGTCTTTCCTGCTTTTCTTGATTCTTTCGGCGAATTTTTGAAAAAAGAATAGCGTGTTCACTTTTACTCTGTTTATTATCGTACCTGTGCTCCGTATCTAAGGTTCAAACCAAAAACGTTCAAAAACATTCTCCCTGGTTCAAACATATTTAGCACTGCGGTTTGTTATTTCACGCGTCTTCCGTGGATTTAAAATTTCAATATTAGCTTCAGCATCTGGTATAAGTCTGACCGCATTAAATAGTATAATCTTTCAGACTTCAAAGAAGCTGGATCTAGATCGGTACCATATAAATATTGGCTGACGCTAACATACCGTCGGTACGAGGAAGTTTTTTGATGTCGACCTCGCGGTTTATGTTGGCGCGACGAGACCTGGGGTTAATAGGTCGGTGCACCGTTAAGTTCCCTTTGTTATTATTAAAACAAGCTCTCCGGTCTTTTGACCCCATGTGGTACATAGGGATAGATAGTACCTATAGATAAATACAAAGGGGATCGCAAATAAAAAAAGTAATATACTTATTTTCTCTTTCTTTATAAACGACCATGTGTGTGTCTATAGTTGTTATAAATTGCATAGTGCCTTTTAAATATGTCAGCATGTAACCATGCTTGCATGGTAGAATGTTAAAATTGCTAGATAAATGTTTATGATGGTAAATATGTGACACTGCAATTCTGCGGCATTTCTAGTTTTCTACCTGCAAGAATCTGATTTGAAAAATTATATCTTACTTTTGTACTGACTTCTTAATTCTGCAAATCTACGTAACGTAGGAAAGTGTCTATACTGGCAACTTCAAGCCCACCGCTTCTATCCTCCAAGTCCAACAAAGCCATGTGGCAGGATATCGATTGCGTATGATCGACTTCAAAGGCATCCCACTATTGCTTATCTGTGCCCGTTTGTTAGGGCAATGTAGACGTAGCGCAGAGTTCCGCGCGCTGATCTCATCCGGAAATTCTTCGCGAATTGCCTCTGACTCAATGTTAGGGGAACAACGTTGCTGGGATAGTCCTGGATATGTGTGTATCTATTTATTATTTATAATTAGCGTGCGTTAAGCCAGGCCATAATCCATTCACGCATGCTCCCGCCAAAAAGTCCTTCAATATTAAGCTGTTTATATTTTAATTAAGTTTAATTATTACGATCAGTAATTACTACTCACAACATTTAACATTTAACATTTGATTTGTTGTTTGCTCATATCAGTTTCAATAATTATAATTAAAAGAAAAATTATACCTTCTCAATTTCGTTAACAATATAGATAAACGAAATTAAGGTACTTCGCCGAGACTTCGATAATGTTATATTTTAAAAGCTATTTCAACAAAGTGTTTATTGACCGAATCATATAGATTTGTTTTTTAATGATTTAAATAATTTAAGGATTAATCAATAAAATGTGTCCAACATTTCTATGAACGGAATAAGAATATTCTCAACTTGAACTATACTACATTGTATCATTGTCTAGATTTTCCAACGCTCAATGTCTCTGGAATACCATAACCTTACAGCAGATTAATAAAATAGAAGTATTTCTATAATAGTTTTGCCTTTCCTCTGAAGAGAGAGTTGTCGGCGGAACATCATCTAAAAAGTTGGCAAGTAAATTACAAACCCACAAATGTCAGTATCACACAACCTCCCGTGAAAAGGTGTAATTTTTGATCTTAAATGCATTTTATACCGCTCAAAAGATCTGATAAATTAGTGCCATTGAGAAGTTATATCCTGAATTGAATTAAACATAGCTGGTGACCCTAGCCTTGCGCTTTGATGCATATCTCCCGTCGAGGTTATCCAGACATTGTGTGGACGTTACATATTTCTCAGTAATATGCCCATTCATAAATTAAACGCAGACGGGAACGGTCTTGTGTGCGGAGGCGGGGTTGACGCGTTAAATAAACTGATAAAGATAATTACATGCCACAACTTTATTATTAAGGACGTTGGAAAATTACGAGAGGAACTGAAAAATGTTTACCCTACTGTAGAATTTTTCTGGGTTTTCGTTACACAGAATATTTGCATTTTCAGTAATGATTGCATTTACACGTATAACACAGTTCTATTCTGAACATATAATGCAATACCAAATTTTCTAATTGTGAAAACTTTTAATTGGCCTTAATTTTGTGAAATTTGATCATACAATAAAAATAATATAAATAAATAAATAATTATGGATGCATACCAACCAAGCGACTATTTGTTCTATAGATACATGCGAGATATGCTAACAACTTTTTTTTTTAATGTGAAAAGTTGCCAAACGAGCAGACGGTTCACCTGATGTTAAGTGAATACCGCCGTCCATAGACATCTGCTACACCCGAGGGTTTGCAGATGCGTTGACAACCTTTTTGGAAATTGGGCTCCGGCTACCTCACTCACCAGACGAAACGCGAAAGTATTTGTCATACTTCCACTTTACGCCGGTCTTCTGTGAGGTCGTGGTTCTTACTCGGAGGAGCCTGCTCATTCGTGCAACAGCCGAGGCTGCTGCGGGGCTCTACCACCGTTACCTAGTGTCCAATGTGAACAAATATCGTTATATTCTGTTATTAATAATCCTTAGTAAGCCAGAAATAGGGATTAGGCTTAGTGACAATCGATGTGATCACTTTTTTTTTCCAAATGAAATACTAGATTATCCCTGATTACTCGTACTATAATTAAGTCATATAAGGTTCATCACTTAAGTAAGTTTCAATTAGACGTCTCATTAAGTATAGATACAGCCGTGATTGCTCATTGTCCGGGCGCTTGCCTTTAATTAAAAATACTCGAGCAACCTGAGTTCGATCCTCGGCACCAACGAAATTGTTTATTTTAAGTGCTGACTTATCATGTGCTCCGCGGTGAAGGAAAACATTGTGAGGAAACCTGCCTATTTACGAAATAATAAAAAAAATTTTTTGTGAAACAGTGTGTGTAAAAATAAAGATATGTGAAGTCCCCCAATCCGCAGTGGGACCGCGTGGTGGACCATGCCCTGACACCCTCTTTATAGAGGAGGCCTTTGTCCAGCAGTGGGAAATGTATAGGCTGTTACTTTACTTTTTTTTCTTTTTTAAGTATAGTTTAGGTCGAAAGGATTAGCGGAATAAGTACTATCATGAAATAAATCGATATACCGCAATTGCGAAATGCGCCTTGTTATGTGATGCGAACTTTAAAGTAACTTCGATAGCTTCGACTCGCAAAGCCGAGGTGAGTGAACTATTAAGAAATGTAAAACTAACAAGGAAAATTCTAAGACTACAATTCATTCGGTTTCTTAGAAAGACACGGCCGTAGTATGTAGGTTGGTAGGTTGGTTTTGTTTAATGCATCAAGCCTTCAATATACAGCAAAATCAAGATACAGCAGAATCCCGACTATCCGAACATTGATTATCCGAATATCCGATTATCCGGACTCATTCATCACGGCTCTAATACCGACTTAGAAATGAATTGACGGCGCGTCAAAGATTAATTAAAAATTATTTCATCACGTTAATTTTTCATATCGTTGTCCAAATGATGTATGTAAACCCTTTTCATAATAAAAAAGTTATAAAATCTAATTATCGTTTGATTTATCTGTGAATCTATTATCCGGATTTTCGATTATACGGAATACCGTATAATCTAAAATCGTGGTTTTGTTTGATTTTTTTGTTTGGTTTTATTTGATTCGGATAAATTAGATCCTACTGTCCAGTTTATATCGAGTAACAACGATAACGCAGCCTAGGAAGCATGGAGGGTAAGATTTCAAATAGCTATCTGAAAACTCCTGGTACATTCAAGGTTTTTTTTTTATGCCAAAAGTTGCCAAACGAGCAGACGGGTCACCTGATGTTAAGTGAATACCGCCGCCCATGGACATCTGCTACACCCGTGGGTTACAGATGCGTTGACAACCTTCTGAAAAAAATTGGGCTCCGGCTACCTCACTCACCAGACGAAACGCGAAAGTATTTGTCATACTTCCACTTTACGCTGGTCTTCTGTGAGGTCGTGGTGCTTATACGGACGGGCCTGCCCGTTCGTGCAACAGCCGAGGCTGCTGCGTGGCCCTACCACCGTTCATTGGGTTCATTGAGTTCTCTATCCAGATTTCTCATACGCAATATCACGTTTGTTTTGCCTGGCCTTCGATCCCAATCTCATTTACGTCTGGTCTTTGTCTGATTGTGACGTTTATTATTGTGTTAATATGCCTAAATTAATTGAAGTAATTTGTATTCTTGACTTGAATAAATGGTCTCCCTAAAAAGAGCTATCTGGCTATCTAGCTATTAATTCAGCGATAAGAAATAGTCCGTTTTCACCTATACTAAAAAGAAATTGATACGAGTGTGCTCTAGATTATGAAATGACTGGTTACATCAGATATTTATTAATGTAACAATAATGCATACACTACTTTTTGAAAAGGAAGACAAAATTGTAATATACTTTTTTATATCAAGCCTGAATTACATTTAGAAGATGTCCTATTAGTGTCCTGAAAATTTGTAATTATCATTTTTAATATCTATCAAAATCCTTCAGAAATTAGAAACGAGCATTGTATCTAAGAATTGTAAGAAAGAATCTATCCACGATTTATTAATTTCATTGCGCGTAGAATTTATTTACTTTATTAATACAGACTAAAATGTTCATATGTATAGTGTATTTTATCGTCTATCTAGATATTATCTGATAACTTACCAAGTGAAACCGTAAATAATTTTCGTTGATTATTGATAATATCTCAGCATTTACTTTAAATTTCTTAGCTAATACTGCTTAATTTCCAGAATAAAATCTGCTTACCGAAAAGGATGCACCATTATAAAGAAATTATTATTTTATTTAAAACTTCGACTGCGGGCAGGTAAAATGTGCGTTCACATGTTGCCAGAACGGGCAAGTTTCTGCTGGCAAACGGCTCACGTTATGGTACGGCAAACGGCTCACGTTATGGTAATCAATCACCGTTGCAACCCTTACATTCATGACACTGTAAGAGTTGCAGAAGAATAATACCTGTATGTAAGAACCTTCTTGAAGTAATATGGACCCTGAAAATAAGGCTGGCCATAATTGATACACCAGAGGGTTAGTATGAGGCAGAAATCGTACCGAGTACATACCTATTTGGTTTCATGTCTTAGATATTTATTCTTTTAATTGTTAACATAACCGTGTTTGTTGTTGAAACTAAATAAATATTCATTCAAAATTTCTCACATAATTACAGACTGCCGACAATTAAGATGGTATCGATGCTATTCAGTGTTTGGTGTTTGGTATTTACACGTTGGCGTTTCCAGTTTGTTACGGATAAGTACTCGCTTGACACGAGGCGAGCTTTATACTCGTTTTCCACGTCCTGTTCATGAAAAAAAAACACATGCTACAAGTACCTGTTAGAGCCAGAGCCACCGCGAGGAGCATGACGACGCCGTCACCCGCTGTCCGCTGATGCCGCTCGCGCCTGTCCCGCCCGCCGACGAGCCCGTCGCGTTTGACCGGACGGGACGCGTTTCACCTGCTTATTGCTCAATTGTCCAATTGAATGGGTGACAGGTTGATTGCCAGGACGAAGTGATTCGAGCGCCCACCAAGGTCTCGCCGCGGGCCGTTTATCTCGGCCCGATATAACGCCGGCGCGCGTGTTTGCTTGCAATTTTTCTTCGACTTCGATTTACATTGTTTATATGTATTCTGTACCTTCTTCTGGATCTTCACAACCTTAAGGTCAGGCACATCGTGTAGTAGTATTCAGCGCTGTGTGCCTCCATAAAAGTTTTTCATGCACTTCTTCGTTTATCTTTATATTTATATGGAATGGATATTGTTTCATTAAATATGATTCGGAAGCAACCTTGCTGAGTGGTTGTGCGCACTCTCTCGCCCTCTCTCGCTTAAAAGAGTTGTAAAGCTTTGTCTGCACAAGTTCAGAAGAGGGATCGGAATCTTAGCCGTGATAGGCCTCATCCACAAATATTTGGTACGCGAATGGCAATCGCCGTAGACACATTTCCATCACACAGTCTAGCTTGTGGCGTCTGCTATAATCACCATTCACTTTGTTTACGTTATTTCTTGGATAATGTTTCAAGTCTCCATAAGCTCATCCCTGGTACCTTACCAATCTTACGCGAACTTCAGGATCCACGAAGAATCCTGCTAGCCGGAGTTGAACATGTGCGAGTCGCTGCATTGCCGTTTCTGATCCAGCACAAAGGGCCAAAATATTACTCGACGAAAGAAATGTGACTTATGTTCAAATGAAACTAAGCACGGATGGTCTAGTAATCACAAACGCTATAGAATATCCGAATTCGGTAGTTTAATTTTACTATGCGTTGTATTCGTTTAAAATAAGATAAAATTCTATTCCAAAACACAAAACAAAATTAATAAATGACAATATCAAAAATTTTTGGGAAATTAATCGGCGCTTATTTTTTACATTGGTTTCTTTATAATAAAAGCGGGCCATTGGGCAAAATTTTATAGTTGCATTTACAAGAAAACGCAATTATCTTTACCTTCGCGCGATGACCGGTGACGCACATTCCACATTCCAAATTAAATGCGTGATTTCCAAAAAAAAAAAAAAAGTTTTAACGGTTTTTGCCCGGTTCCAGCAGCGTGCTGAATCATTTGGCCCGAGCCATCATTTATAATGGAGGCATAATATAAACAAATATCTTTATTTGTATGAGTACTTCAAACTTGACATAAAGGACATACAATAGATTCAAATCTCAGTCGGGTCACCAATAAGAATGTCTAATCAAATCAAATCAAAACAAATCATTTATTCGAAGTAAGATTTTTTCAAACCGTTTATCGACGTTTTATAATTAGTCTTATATTTATGTCTCTCATGCCGTTCTGGTGTATCGAAACATCAAGCTTCTTTGTCATTTAAACATCTAACTTACAATAAGCTTTTTTAAACAGTGTCTGCTTGCAAACTTTTTGTCCGGTAGATTTATAATATTATCAGGAATTTTTTTCTATCGGATTTCTTACGTAAAAAACCTCCGTTCTCCACCTTTGGTTCCAATAAACTGTGACAGGCCGAAGATCGATTAGGTTTGTGATTAAATGAACTCAGAGAAAGTGGAATGCAACCTTGCTTTGTTTACCCTTATGGGTACAAAGCAAGGTTGGAACTGAAAGTCTGTTTTATATTAATTCAAACTATTGAATTTCAGCTGTAAAATGCCATAGACGATTGGCGAAAGTACATATTGCGAAAGAGAATTACAAAATCAGCTGATAACACCTTGATATGAGGGTGTGTAGACCAAATTGACAATATACTAAGGGAGGGTAAAAAATTATAATAAACTACTTGCGTCAGTGGCTAGACGTGTAAGGTAAACCCTTTAAGATGATATGTTAATGTACGTATGTACTATCGCAATTTACCGCTGAATACACCGTGTATGTCCCCTCTCGAAAGGACGTACGTTTTTATAAACAAATTGCGATGTTATTATTCAATTAGAAAACAAGAAAAATAACTATCGTAGCTGTGACGTTACGAAGAATAGTTATTTAGACGAACGCGTGTATCTTACTTCTCGAACCTTCTCGAATATTGACTGAAATCCATCACGAAAAGTGTATATAACTTGATGGCCGCTGACCACTCTGTCAGTAATAATAATACGCCGAGGTTCAGGCTAGGCGCCCTGTGCGCCAGGCCACCTCAAGTCCGTCGGAACTGTAAAGGCCCCTAAGGCCAACAGTGGCTCATCCAGCCCAAAAAATCTGTCTCTTGCGAATAAGCTATCGTCGTAGAGGTATTTCGAAGCTGTTTGAAGTTCAATCGAGTTTCAAAAAAGGTGAAATTCTTAATTTACACTATGGGACTTGAGTATTTCACTTTGGTCCCGTGTTGTTACAAGATCCATTTCGACAACTTGATTATCAACGAATGTGCTTGCTAGAAATTAAAAAATGTCTACTGCCATTACTAGTCGTTCTATATACTGCTTATTTAATGACACTATCACCGGATTATAAAACAATAACAAAAACTAGAGGAATTCATTAATTCGGGATCCAGCTGGGATAATGTAGTTTAGTATTTTTTTTAAATCATCGTATCTTAGGTAAAACTTTGGAGAAATGCTCTGGTCTATGCCATAGCAAAGTTATCGACTAATTACTGGACATCCTGTATATGGAATAAGTTGGGTTTTGCGTATGCAAAAGGCATTCGGGACATTTTAAGGCTCATATTAATAAACTGTCGTAACAGTATTGTTTTTTATTATATACATATATTTATCGATAAGGTATTCAGTGTTAAGATAAATCTTTCAACAACTATGTTTTGGTATCTTCGAGATAACAAATATCGAATTCTTTTAGCTGATACCTTATACCGAGCAAAAGTATAAGAAATGTTTCTTTCGATATCCAGCTACATGGGTCATCTAGCTTAGTTCGGATTACGGAGATGTTATTGCTGGATAGAGGCCAGATGGGTGCAATTTCCGTGAAAGAACTCACCTGCCCCAAGCAAACGTTAACAAATTTTCAATATCACAATGTACCGAAAGTAAATATGTTATGGTTCTTTCACTGTGGTATAGTTAATACAGCTTACAGCCCAGTACGATGGGTCAGCTCGATTGAGGGAGTGCCACGACCTCAAAGAAGTACGACCCGTGCAGTTTCTTCGGCACAGAACCTATGGCGAATGAGATCAAAAATAAGTATTTGTTCACGGGCCATAGAGGTCCGGTTATCAGACCATTAGGTCATCGAGAAAACAAAAAGAAGAACACATACACAACCCTGCGTAAAATGTCCATGGGTTGAAAAGATCCAGTTCTTCAATAAAAATATACATAATTTTCCCTCGCTTTTTACGGATCTGTACCTTAAGAGGTGAAAAAGGAACCCTCATAATATAACTCTCTTGTCCGTCTGCCTGTCCATGTGTCACCACAGATTTTCCCGATAAAGGGTGGACCTAGCGAGTGAAATTTACTAAACTACATACTCAGCTCTTTAGTCCCTATTAGCTGTATAAAAATCGAGTTCCTGAGTCAACACTTTATAAAGATATGGGCAAACGTAGATTTTCGCGACAACTCGTAGGAACTATTTACCTTAGTAAAGTACCTTAAAACAAAAATGAAACCATGATTCTGGAAATAAATGTTTAATAAAAAATATTGTGTCGTATTTTCTTACACTATTTGAATAAAATCATTTGGATTGTACACAAAATATTGTTAAAATATACTTATTCAGCTTTCATCCACCAGCGCATAAATAGAAATTACGTCTCAATGTTATTTGATCACATACCTATATAAAAATCACAAACACATGTGTTATCATTCTATAAAGTATATCATATCAACTTAATCATTTTTGATCTTTGGTTATACCAAAAAAACGAAAGTTATGTAAACATAAAACAATAAGTTAATGTTTGTAAGTTACATGCTGATATCAAGATGGTATGATTAGGCTTTTATTGCCAATTACTTTTAGTTTATATAGGTATTAATATTTATTATTATTTGATACCTTACAGTGCCGTCTAAATATAATCTGAGAACAAAAATAAAAGATATATCGTAAGTAGTTACTTTTCCAACAATAAATAATAAAATTATTCTAGTTATGCTACCACATTCAAGAAAATCTGTTATCTGTTGTAATCAACAATATTATTATAATATGTATTACTAGAACAATTCCATCATATAAAGAAATTAATTTATAAAATTACTACTGTACCTATGTACTGAAATAATATTTAAGTTTATAAAACGTTTAATTTTTGAAAAATATTTTATTTTATATTTTTTCAAAAATATTCCATTTAACATTTCAATACTCTTCACTTATGCTATACTGTAACAACATATTTCTCATGCCAAAAATTTAATATAAAAAATCGATCCGGCTTAGCCCCATGCAGGGCGATAGATTTGAGAGCTTATTTATAAATATTGGTTATTGAAAAAAACCTAAATATTGTCAGTCACAGCCGTAAATTACAGACAAACGATTTATGAATTTAAACAACATAAAACATTAAAATAAACTATACAACAAATAGAACGAATGACTGACGTCTTCAAGCGCCTGTGGTTTTTTTCCTGGCAAATATATGGCAATTCGAAACTTTTCCTAAAAAATATAGGTGTTAAACTATTTCATAATGATTACTTCAAAGAAATGCGAATGATAAATATAAAAAATGTTTAAGGTAATTAGATATTTTATATTTTAGATGTATTTGTTAATCATCTATATTATGTAGTCTTAGTTAAAAAAAATGAAAATTTTCCTTAAGAAAAAACGATTCGGGGAAAACAATATATAAGTCAATTAAATAAATTTAAAACCTATGGCATTGTACAGTACAGTATTTTACTTAGAAAAAAATTGCTATTAATACATTTAATATTTGGAAAATTATCATACAATGATTAAATTACTTTCACAAACATCAAAACTGCTTTTATGAATAATCGAGTGCACTTAACCTAAACTAAACGTTTATTTGTTATATTCTATTTAAACAGATGATTTTTTCAATTATATCTCAATAACATTGTAGGCTTAAAATTAATTTTATGGTTTAACAGTTAAGTTATATAATTATTATGTGATAATAGTGGCTATTATTCTTAATTTAATTATGTTTCTATCCATTTCTGATTAGCAATAGTACATTGGTGTAAGAATAAATTAGCTATTCAATGAATCTTGAGTAAATACCCATTTCACTAGCATATTTTTATATGATATAATTATCATAATTAAGAGGAACTAATTACTAAAACTCCAGACGAAACCATTACAAAATTTTTACATACCTACATTACAACATTCAGACACGAATTTTATCACATTTAGAATATTTCATACAACTCTATAATTTTTCTTTCCTTAAATTGTTATACATATTATATAATTATACTTAATTGTCAAATGGTGAATATCAATAATTTTCCCAAAATGCCACGATACCCGCTGAAATTATGTATTAAACTAGCTTTTCAATGCAGATGATTACATATAAAATAATCTTTCGGTTCATCAAATAATAATTTCGAGGTTATCTCATCTCCTTTTCATCAGTAGGTATTTAAATATTCTCTTAGCCCGCCGATATAACATAAGGTAAATAAACCGATCAAATATATACATTTAGTAATTCAAGTTGTTGATGGTGTTTTGTGTCTTGTGAAATTACATTTTAATATATTTAAAAGCCAGCCTTCAATTATATAAATCTCTTTTTGTTTAACCTTACTCCAAACGCGAAAGGAACAAACATCAAACAACAAAGTCTTATTCCTATATCTTCATACAATTAAAACTACGTGGTCAAATAGTTAACATTAAATATAATATATACACGAAGATTCTGGGTGATGTTTTTACGTGTGGCAACCCTGTTTACGAAAAGGTCAACCATAGAGCATATTACGTTTTTCTATTTAATTGACGCAACCTGTCTCCCGCCTTCTGTCTTACTGCCACAGTGTTGTGACTTCGCTTAAGTGACGTTACAACGGGTTCAGTTTTATCTCTGCCTCGTCTTTCGGTTTCTCGCACATCACCTCGCAGGGTCTGGAACAATAAGCGTACCATGAACCTACTGAAGAAGACATTCGACTTTCGATCGGTCTTATTAAACTGTTACTGGTAATTTATTATGACGGAAAGGGAGGCACAGAACTTTGTCTGCTCTCCAGCACCGCTGAAAGTTTTACTTCCTTTGGTTCTAGAGGAACGATACAAGCATCTTGTACTGTACTTTTCACGGCCTCCTTTCTTCGTCAATCTATGGTTTACGTACACGGTATTGAAAGTCTGAGACGACATACTGACACAATAATTAATTAATAAATGGAACAAAAAATACCCGGCTGCTTTAAAAAAAAAACAGATGATTTCTTACTTTTTCAACCGGATACATATATTAATATACCCTACCTCTCCATTATTTTTTCTTTTCTTTTATGTGATAAGTTGCCAAGCGAGCAGGCGGTTCACCTGAAGTTAAGTGAATACCGCCGCCCGTGGAAATCTGCTACACCCGAGGGTTGCAGGTGCGTTGACAACCTTTCTTTCTCCACAACTAAGACTAACTAATGACACCTTTTCGCTGCGTAGGACCCCGCATCAGCCTCTGCAACCTCTGCAACCCTCTACAGGGCCATCCAAGTAAGTACCGCCACCTAATAGAAGATCGGCGTGAAGTGGAAGTGTCTTCTGCGTTTCCTCTGGTGAGTGAAGTAGCTGGGATCTACACCATTCAAATGTGGCAACGCGTCTGTAATCCTACGGGTGTTGCAGATGGCCATAAGCGGCGGTTGTCACCTACCGTCAGGTGAACCGCCCGTTCCCTACCATCTTTTCACATAAAAAAAACGGCGGCTGTAATACCCCTACCATAGGACCTCTTGGTGGTTCGCGCAAAGATTGGCAACAAATTTCAAATCCTATTCGATTAAAAATGCGGACGGCGGTAATAACCTACGTAACGAGACATCTCTCGCGTTCACACTTCTGTAATAGATCACATTCAGTGGTACCTCGAATATTTGGCCTTCTTAGTGCAGCAGAGAACTTTTACGGCGAGGACGGTTAGGAAGAGGCTCATTCCTGCACATACAGCGCCACCCCAGTCGAGTATTGCGCGAACAACGCGCAACTCCGACAGAAGTTGGTCCTCCATGCGCACTCTTTGCTCCACCCAGAATATCGGGAACAGCATCTTTGGCACGTTAGCGTACAATCTGGAAGCAGAAGGTGTTTCCTCCAATATTCACACTGCGTTTGGGCCAGTGTTGCTCAGTGATGACCAGTGTCCGGGTGCTCGGGCTATTTTGAGTCTTTTGACTGAAAAACAAGTCACTCTAATCTATAAGCCGTGATAACTCATTGTAAGCTTTAATTCAACTTACTCCAGCAACCTGATTCCGATCCCCGGTGCCGTCACCAATGAAATTGTTAATTTTAAGTGCTGAATTATCACGTGCTCAGCGGTGATGGATAACTTCGCAAGGAAACCTCAACATTTTCGAAATAATAACAAAAAAAAGGCCTTAATATTTTAGGATCGCATGAATGTAAAGTGTAACTCACTCGATATTTGGCGTTGGTTCTATCCAAACGTTAAATTGGAACCTCGCTGACACGTCCAATGGGACTCCCAACCTCTGAAGAGAAACGCATATAGTGGATTAGTAGCAACACTACTGTTTTTTTTTTTTTCAAATTTCGTTAAGCATTACGCATTATCCTTGATTAACTTTGAATTTGCCAGAGATGTCATTGGTTGACTTGATGATATTCGCGTTGCTTTTGTTACAATATTCTGATGTAACTCTATATCTTTTGATGTTATTACTTTGATTTAATCGGTTGTCCCGTCAAGTGGTATAACAAAAGTGCCAAAAGTAGCAGAAACAGACATGGAATCTGAAGTGTAATACCATGTAAAAATACCACTACTATTAAATTTATATTCACGTTCCAAATTCAGCAGTCATTCTATTTTATAAAGAATAGTTTGACCGCTTTATATACTTAGCAAACTGCTCTTCTCGAATTAGATCTTAAAGCACTGTCGTTACATTTTATAAAAAATAGTTTGCTTAAATGCCTAGCAAATAGCAATAGACCATTTGCTCTTCATAAATTAGATCCTAAAGCACCTTGCCCCTGCTTCTATCAGTCACAATATCAACCATGTGGAAGTAGAAACAGAGGCCTTTACAATTGAGGTAAGGCGTGCTCTTCTTAGAAGCGTCACAACATCAACAGTTGGGCAAGCAGAAGCAGAGGCCTTTAGTTTATAATCAGCGAACGGCGTGATCTTCTAGAAGCTCTACAGAAGTACGTCGACTCACCGGCTCCACTGCAAAGTAGAAGGAGTGCCGTTCAGGGTCCGGCTCCATGCCTGTGACCAGCTCGCGAAGCCGCGGGTCGCCGTGCAGGAAGTGAGGCAGCGACAAGAACGAAGGGGAGCCGAAACGGCAGGAGGATACGTTCATCACGCCGCCCCAGGCGCACTCGCCGTTACAGAAACACGAGTTGCCGGGCGACGACGATGCTACGAACATAAAGTGAAATTCATGTTCACATCACTATATCCAGCGTTCCGCAACAGCGCGATTTTCAAGGCATTTCCTGCCTCGCACAACCGCTCAGTGGAACCAGCTGCCGCCGGCGGTCTTTCCAAACCGTTACGACCTGGGAAACTTCAAGAAGAAAGCATACTCTTTCCTAAAAGGCCGGCAACTCGTTTGTAAGCCTTCGGGTGTTGCAGGTGTTCATGGGCGGCCTTATTCACTTACCATTAGGTGAGCCTGCTGCTCGTTTGCCGTTTTTTCTCCATAAAAAAGTTTCTACTCATTGTAGACGCATCTGTACTAAAAGGAGGAGATACCAAGTTTCTACTAATGGAAGGCGCATCAGAAGATGGTGTATTAGATGACACAGAATTCCAATGGGAAAAAGTCATGTAATCGACGCTTTTTTTAAGTAAGAAACAACCCTCTGACGACTTATTTATTTGGTTATTTATTTATTATTTAAGGTCTATCTACAAAATTACATGTTTTAGAAATATACATATATACATACAAGATGAACATAAACTTAGGTTATGAACAACATGCAATTTCAATTACAGACAGACACCGCATACTCAGAGTATAGGTGTTTAAACAGTATTATAAAACAATAAAAGAAAAACTGAAAAAAAAACTAGGAAACAATATTCCCAACACTACAATGCTACTTAAAATATAATAATAAAATTACAAAACAATTACATATTATAAAAGTGATGTGACATAGATATATACACAAAAGACCGAATATTAGACGTCTACGGCGCTAATTGGATTCAATACCCTGACAATTATCGATTTAAATACTGGTAATTGGTCGTGAAAAATATCTATTGAACTATCTTTATTTGTAAAAAATCTGGGAATTATAGAATGGTGACCCAAGTTATAATTTGTATGTTTTATGAGTGAGGATAGATTTTAGTTGGCGCGGCAAACGGGAAGGAACGTCAAGGGAAATACGACTAAGTAACTCTGGGTTATCAACTAAATTGTTATACAGCTTATACAAGAAAAACATGTCTTGTATTGTCCGCCTGTCGGATAACTTCATAAGGTTAAAATTCTTAAGTCGCTCAGGGTAAGGCACTCGTTTTCCTGGCCCAGTTAAAAAGAAGAAAGTAAAGCGTCCCTGAATTTGGAATTTGGATTCCATACAACCGAGCAATACTCGAGCTTGCTTCTGACCAGTGTGGTGAATAAAATTTTTCTTGTACTCGGGCTTTTAAAGTCTTTGGAGTTTCTGCACACAAACCCTAACATACGCCTAACAGATTTACAAATATTTAAAATATGGTGTTTAAAGCTTAATTTGGTATCAAACGTTACACCCAGATCACGCACCATTCCTGTTCATTAAGTGCTCTGCCGTTAATACGGTATGCTGTTACAATTGTTTTAAGATTGCGAGTAAATCATTCATCATCATTTTGTTGGGACCATTCATATAATCTATCTAGGTCCTCTTGAAGAGCCCTACTATCACTGGGCGATCTTATTTCTTTCGCGATTTTTATGTCGTCCGCAAAGATAAAGCATTTCGTGTTGCGACCGGACCGGTACTTTTATTTAAATCTAGTCTTTTTAGTTTCTTAAAAACTTCAAATTGAGTAAATTGAATAGAACATAGAGAAATATTAGAAACTGTCCCCAAGACAACACTTCCCGAAGTATAGTTATTATCATATACTGACGAAAAATGTTTAGCAAATAAGTTACAGATACTAAAAGTACCATCTGATGATATTTGATTTTCTAAGACCATCCTAGAGGTGTAAGTGTTTGAAGATTTTTTTAAGTTCTTAAGATGAGTCCAAAAATATTTAGGATTCTTCGATATATTTGATTCAATCTTTCGATATAGCATTTATATTGTTCTTTAATTGATTTGTTACAACTTTCGCGTAAATTGATAAATTCTAAACGGTCAAGAGGATTTTTATACTTTTTGTATTTCAGTCTAAATTTGTTTTTTACTTTTAATAAATTTATTAATCCAGGGTGGATTTATATTATTTTTAGGTTTACATTTGGGTACGTGTTTTTAATTACTTCATCCAATTTTTGGTAGAACGTCGTTAGCATAATATTAACGTCTTCGCACTTCAATAGGAGATCTAATCATTGTATTTCATTTAAGTCCGAAACTATTTTCTCGTAGTCAGCTTTGTAAAATTTTAATCTCTCATTGTTCATTTCCTTGACGACTTGTTTTTTGATAGAAATCACGGTTATATTCAAAGGCGGGTGGTGACTGTCAACTATACTTATGGGGTTACTACTCTCTTTGATTATAAGTTCATTGGAATTACATAGTATCAGATCTAACAGTCGTTGGTTACCGTTAAGAACAGATTTAAACTGGTTAAGGGCATTTTCCTCTATAAACTCGGAAAACATTACATCGAGATTACTACTGGGGCTACCAACAAGTCGCAAATATGAAACTCCTGGCATTTCGGAACAATTAAGGTTACCAAGATTTAAATAACCTGCCAGTAATATGTGATCGTTTTAATATTATTTATCGTTTTGATTGATGACGAAATTCGCATGAGATATAAAATCTTCTAATTTGTCTTTTGCGACTGGGGGTGGTAGGTAGATCGCACAAATTGCAATATAAATTGACGCTTCGAAGTCGGGTAGATCCACCTACCCGACTATGAAGCGTCAATTGTCAGCCATATGTCCTCGCAACTACTTTCTCACATCATCATACAACGTGATACTGTGATATCATTCCTAACTGCTATTATAACACCGCCTCCGTTCATCGCTTTTCTATCTCTTCTGTAAACTGTGTATCGACTATCAAAAATTTCTCCATCTTGTTCAATATATTTAACTATTGACGTCCCGAAATTTACTACGCAGACCTCTAACATTCTGATAGTATATTTTTAAGAAATCCATTAAACTTAAAAACAATAGAAAGCAAAGCAGTAACAACTAAAATTAGATAGCAACTCAAAGAAAATACAAAACTAAGTAATTAATAAAAACAACTAAAAACTAAATTATATCAGTGACTTTAACTGGCTAGCGTGCTCCGATGTCTCCGATTTCTCATGTATATGCGTCCATTTTTAATCCACACAAATTTGTATTGTAGTTTTTTTGCGGCCTCTCGGGTTAGTTCATGTAATTTTTTTTCCTCCGGAGGCAGGTGTTCGAGAACATAGATTGGTCTTTTATCCCCACTATACCCGATGTGGCTGGTATTTAATTTGTCGTTGCGGTGCTTCTTGTTAAATTGTATCACACCTGCCAGGAGCTCATCACGAGTCCGAGGATTCGAGAAAGTAACCACAACAGAACGCGGACGTTTGCTTTCAGGGTTAATTTTGGCAATCCTTGTGCATTCGTTTATATCGCTCTCGGCTAGGTTGATATCAACCGCTTTAGCAATTTGACTTACAACGTTCATCAAATTTTCAGTTTTATGTTCCGGTATGCATTGAATTTCTAAATTATTCTTTCGGGAGTATTGTTCAATATTGTTTAGGCGGTTGCCTAAGTCTTTAACTGTGGCCCTCAGCGTTTCGTTTTCCTTTTTATGGCGTCATATACTGTTTTCAGGTGGGTAATTGAATCTCTCATATCATTAACTACTATAAAGATTTCCTTATATTTGTCTTCAATTATTTTTGTAATCTTTAACTCCATACTGCTCAGAAGGCCGTCCATCGCTTCTTGAATCATCGCCTTTACATTTTGTAATGTTAGACTATCTGTACTTCTCAACGATGCATCGTTTTTGTTAGGTCGTAGGGTAACATTTGACGGGACGCTATCCTCTTCTACTGCATTGCCGGCAGCCCGTACCAGGGAGATAGAACAGTCAGATTTTGTTGGCTTAGAACGACATGCTGAGCAAATCCAAGAGTTTTTGTAGTCTGACGAAATGCTTTTGTATTTTTTAGCTGTGGTACTAGCACACTCAAAATGATATTTCAAGCAGCAAGTATTACATTTGAGTTGTTCCGGAGTAGACATAACTCGCGCACATCCAGCGCATTTGTTACTGTTTGCCCTTGGTATTCATTACAAACAGTAGACACCTATTTCCTTATCAATTTTTTTTTGTTCAGAGGAGACACTGGCACACAATTATCACTTAATGGGCAGTTAAAGTCGTTTCAAATATTCCGTGACATGCATAAATTAGTATTGGATAATTTCAATTGATTTAGATATCCCTCTTACATCAGATCAATCCAAGAATACAATATTCTTCTTTCGTGACCAATACTAATTAGTTCTAGAACTTCTATTCGTTTTTCGGGTACTCAAACAAAATGTTTCATGTGTTGTTTCTTTCGAAATAATATAATACGTCACGAATCATTAAATTATGATTAGCACCTCAAACACTTGCCTTCCCTAAGACATGCATAAATTACGACAGTATAACGATACTTTAGATGAATATAGTTGCACATTTATAATTTTTAAGATTGAGTTTTACGCACGGTTTCATAATACGTGTTTACGCACGGCGCGCACTTTAACAAGCGTCTGACTTGTCTGACTTTACTTTATGCCTTACAAAAGGTCCACGTGACGTGGGAGTATTATATTTTCCCTATTTTTTAAAGGTTGGCAACGCATGCAGCACCTCGGCTGTTGTGGATTTGCAGGGGTAATCACTTAACAATCGCCTGATCACTTGCTTAGGTCCTTTTGGGCGGCGGTAATCACTTAACATTAGATGAATCGCCTGCTCACTTGCCAACTTTTCAAAGGTCCTTTGAAACTGAATCTGCCATCATGATCATTTCTTATTCATGTTCGCCATCCACTGAGCGCATCGAGTTGTGACGTCGTCGGTGCCGGCACCAGGATTTGAGCCCAACTGCGAGCTGTTATACGGTGCTCACACAGTTACAATCAATCGATGAGACCTTATGGAACAATCGATCACACGGTTACAAACAATCTACGGTGGTAGGGCCACGCAGCAGCCTCGGCTGTTGCACGAATGGGCAGGCCCGTCCGGGTTAGTACCACGACCTATGAATCTCTCATAGTAAAGTGGAAGTATGACAAATACTTTCGCGTTTCGTCTGGTGAATGAGGTGGCCGGAGCCCAATTTTCAAAAGGTTGTCAACACATCTGTAACACTCGGGTGTAGCAGATGTCCACGGGCGGCGGTATTCACTTACCATCAGGTGACCCGTCCGCTCGTTTGGCAACTTTTCGCATAAAAAAAAAGATGAGATTTTATGGAGCAATCGATATCCCATCACTCACAGTTGTCGAAGCTGGACTCGGCTAGCTCGTACTTGTAGTAGGGGAGGCCGCCCAGCTGTCCGCTGTCCGTGTACTGCAGTTGCACCGTCCTGCATAGGTCGGGCACAAACAGCATGAGCCCCGACTGCTCGGTCAGATTGTGCGGCATGTACTCGCCCGCGCTTCCGGACAGCTGCGAAGCACGAACGTTCGCTTTGGTTTGCTACATTGCCTTATTGAATTAAAGGCTGATAAAGATCATTAGACTTAGAAGATTAGTGGTTCAATCGTCTGGGACGATCTTTGTCTGATTCAACATCATGCAGTGGCTTTACGTGCTAAATTCGGTACAAGAGTTGCATATGCGTTGTTGACTTTTGAGGGAGTGGCCCCGGTCACCTCACACGTAGATGTTTAATACATAAATGCCTTTATTTAAGGCTGGTGTTCTGGTAGACCATGCAACAGCAAAGGTTACTGTTACAGTAAGAACAATGAAACGATTAACAAAAAACCGACCAAGTTGGACTCGCGCACGTATCATGTCTGTTGTATGGGAGCCATACTTAAATTTTTTTTTATTTTGTTTTTAGTATTTTTTGTTACAGCGGCAACAGAAATACATCATCTGTGAAAATTTCAATTGTCTAACTATCACGGTCGATGAGATACAGCCTGGTGACAGACGGACAGACAGACAGACAGCGAAGTAATAGTAATTGGGTCTCGTTTTACCCTTTGGGTAGGGAACCATAAATAAAGGTTGGCCAAAGCCAAAGGAGGGTTTATATACCACATAATTTGTAGTTCATCCGAATACTTATCAATATTTTGAGACTGATCATCTTCCTGCAGACTCTGTGTTTAAGATATTAGTACAAATTGTGACAAAACTGACCTTTGAACATTCCCCGCTGTAGAATGGTAAATGATCCCGATGATTCCACCTCAGGATCTGACCAGGTAGCGACCCTCCTAGGGCACCCGTTGACACCTCCATGTAGCCATCCGTATCCAAAGAGTTGTTTCTCTGAAACAGATAACACAACAAGCTTTGAAGTTTTTTTCGTAGCATAGAAACCGTAAAACTCCAAATATTAAAGAAAGAAACAAATCTTCTTTTAGTATTATCGTTGCTATTCAAGTTCAAATATCTTTATTCAACGTAGAAGCATTAGACTCAGTTATTGATAGTCAAAATACTACCACGGATTCGGAAAAGAAAGCCACTGAACTGAGAAGAACCGGCGAAATAAACTTAACGGTTGTTGCAGCTATTGTTGATGTTCCCAAATGATTCAAGGTTTTGAAGTTCATCGGTTTTTGGACTGCTGCATTGCCATTAATTACATCATTTACATCCCCTGTCTACCCTTTTTAACGTGGGAAAAGTTCTGTATGGACCCCTGGCACTAGATCTGGGGAGTGGCATGGGTATGTGAGAGTCCCGGTCATAAACGGGTACCTACTAAAAATCCACGTTGCACCTGTCTCTGACACATCGAAGACAGGGGAACACTTAGATATAATCTTTCGCGGCATCCTCTGTCCACCCTAGTAGTCTTTACAAGTACTCAGCGGAAACAAGACTGCAAAGCATGATGAGGAATATCTCAGAAGGGCTTACCTCGTAGAACAGCCCGAATCTGTCAACGGGCGGCGCCCCGCCGGTGGTGCTGGCCGGTAGACTCTTCGCCAGGTTCAGTAGCGGGTCCTCGTAACCCTCGAAGAGTAGTTCGCCAGCCAGCCTGGTTATCGACATGTGCTGGCCGAACATCGCCAAGCCCATTGCCAGTCCCTTCTGTCGGATATAGCCCCAGTCCCGCGACCTGTACACAGCCGACTGGAATGGTGGAAAGGACATGGTCATTCTAAAATGTGTCCAAATTTACTTTGTAGTTTTTTTTTTTATGTGAAAAGTTGCCAAGCGAGCGGGCGGTTCAGCTGATATTAATTGAATACCGCCGCCCTCCTCTCCTAAATGCAGAGGGTATTACGGCATATTCCACCATGCAAACCCACTGCGAATTGGCGCACGTCACATACCTTTAAAATATTTTTTTTGACATGCAGTTTCCTCGCGATGCTTTCCGTCACAAATTGAAATTCAAGGAATTATTATTAATTGAGGTGGTAAACATGTGATCTCCCTTGTCTTGATCACACCAAAGAATCACGAAATTTCGCCCAGGTAGAACGAAACAGCCGTGGAAAACAGTATCGGGATGACCATATAAAATACGCATGTACCTAATGATTGTTGCTAAAATGTTTCATATAAACCAAAAAGGATATAACTTCGGTATAAGAAACTCAGCGGGCTTTTTTTTTTTTTTAAATAAGCATTTTGACATAAATTCGTTAAAATACAATATAAGAACTCCGATTGAAAGAGCCTGGAGCGATCAGTTCATTACCAGAGTGTGTTATCATTTAAATAATCATTAATATTATAGTAGCCTTTAACACACAAACGTTCTTTTACTATTTTTTTAAATTTAGCTATTGATGCATTTTGAAAGTTTTCTGGAATTTTGTTGTAATAACGTATACATTGTACCATAAAAGATTTACTTATTTTACGGAGTCTACTTGTGGGTAGGATCAATTTATTTTTGTTCCTAGTATTTATATCATGAACATTATTATGTCTTAAAAATTTATCCTTATTTTTATGGACATACAAAACATTTTCAAAAATGTATTGAGCAGCGACAGTCAATACCTTTATCTCTTTAAACAAGTTTCTTAACGATTCTTTGGGGCCCAGATTGTAAACTGCACGAATAGCCCTCTTTTGTAAGAGATAAAGAATGTATTAATGTCGGCCGCGTTACCCCAAAGCAGAATGCCATAAGACATTATACTGTGAAAATAACTAAAATATACCAAGCGAGCCGTATCAACATCAGTTAACTGTCTTATTTTTTTGACCGCGAAAGCTGCTGAGCTAAGTCTACTCGCAGTCTATTAATATGGGGGCCCCATTGCAGTTTGGCATCAAAAGTTATGCCAAGGAATACAGTTGAGTCAATAGGGTCCAACGCTTCCCCATATAAAAGTACATCAGTTTTTACATGTTTAACATTGGAGGAAGTTGTAGATTTAATACATTTAGTTTTTTTATTATTCAACAGTAAATTGTTAGCACTAAACCAATGTTCTACAGTAGATAGAGTATTGTTTACATCGTCATAACTTAAAGAACGTCGGTTTACTTTAAAGATTAAAGAGGTATCATCCGCAAAAAATACTATCTCATGATTATTATTAACAAGATAAGGTAGATCATTTATGTAAAGCACATTGATAACACAAATTTAGGCTTAAATATAACTCATAAACTTGTTTTAATGATTAGCATGTCTATAATGTTGCATATATTTAATGCATATACAAAAAAATGTTCTCCGTTTACTAGTGGTGTATTTAATTTTTTATCTGTACTGTCTCACTCAGCGGGTTTACTTACTGATTATAGAGAAAAAGAATAGAATGTTAATTAGGTAGTCAATTAGTTTGAATTTGTAATAAATATATTATTAGTAAATAATTACTAATTTTTCATAATTTATAGGCATTGCTGATTTAAAAAAAAATATGTGAGCGATTTAGCAAGATTCTAGTACTGATTCAAATTTAAAACACTATGCTCTCTTATACCTACCGAATTATTTTTTGATGACCAACGTTACCAAAATATCCCTATATATTAATACGGGATGCAAAAACTTTGAAGCTTTTTATGAATATTGAATGCACGGAGAGTCTTATAAAAATTCGGTAGCTGAATAGACCTCTCTATTAAAGTGAGCTCCGGTTACCTCACTCTTCCACTTCAAGCCGGTCTTCTGTGAGGTCGTGGTTAGCGCTACTATAGTTTATAGCTATATAGCGGGCTACTATAGTTTTAAGTGTATAAACTTATCGCTTTTTCAGATTGAAATCTATCCACTGAATTCTGTGTGAAAAATATCACCTTTATTATAAGACAGATTGACCTTAGCTATAACTTAGGATAATTACTACTAAGTAATTGGCGTACACACATAAATGTATATCTATATCCAAGACAATAGTCCGTGGGTAATACAAATACTTGCCCGAAATTGGAATCGAACCCACTGTTCGTATTTTAGGCCGTAGTCTATCTAAATAGTATATTTGCGACCCACAAACTAGGTGACAAAAACTCACAGTATAACGGAGCGGGTAACAAGCAATAGTTAATTTCACTCAACTCGCAGTACATAACTTGTTGGTCGATCTTGAACGCTTGTACAACAAAATCCGAGTTGATGCGCAAAGCCTGTCTATTAACAGATTTAAGAAGTTTATTAAAGATAATCTTCTTAAATAAATTTCTAATAACGCTTATTAGAATATAAATGAATGCATTAAAGAGAATAAGCCCCTGGGAATGAGATGATCGCTCCTAAGCTGTTTCTGAAATTGAATGAGGTTTATGGACTGAAAGCGCTGACTTCAGGTACATAACATAACATACTATCTCAATAAGAAATGGGTTCGTTAAAAGGTGGGTGGCAGATCTCTATGATGTACTATATTATCCACACATAGGCTTTTTTTGTTGTTGTGTTGTGTATGTACTATATTATCCAGACATAGGCATTTTTTGTTCTCCTTTTTATAATTCTTAGGTCTTCAGAACTGATTTCAAATGTTTTACAAAACAAAAGACGCTTTATTCTCATCGTCGTGGCTAACAATTTTGAAGTAAGTCGGTAAGATAATTTAAAACTTTGATCGAGTCTGTCATAACAACTAACGTAGGTCCATAGTATATAGTAAACATATCTAAATTTGATTGCATTAATGTGATAAATCGTTACTATTATCAAATGTTTTTAATAAAGTGTTTATAATAATCCTCTTAATTGTGATACGGAATATGTAATGCAACTTAGATAACAGCGCAAAAGTGGAACAACGTACAAAGTAGAAATGTTACTTGAGAAAAAAATAATAATTGGATCTCAGACTCTGCACCACTCGATTAAAACTCGAAGCTCATCACTGTTTATATTAATTGCTAATGACAAAAAAGCTTGTTTAATTAGATCAAGTCCCTATAATTTTGAACAAAAAACCGACTTCAAACAGGAAACTAGAAACATTGTCGACACCTATAAAATTTGAGGATTGCCCTCGATTTCTCTGGGATGCCATCATCAGATCTCGGTTTCAAATCATGGTATCACCCTTGAGATATCTCCTTTCCAACAAAAAAAGTATCATCAAAATCGGTTCATAAAAAATTACGAAGTTATCCCCAAACACATATAAAAAAACTAAAAACATAAACGGTCGAATTGAGAAACCTCCCCCTTTTTTGAAGTCAATAATAAAGGTTAGATGCCTTAAGTATGTGTAAATCAAATGAATGGATGCACTCACTGCAGCGATGATGTTCAGCGTGGTGATGCTATCGTCCAGGGTTCCGTTGCTGTTCTCGTCGAACACCCAACTGCGCTGAGTCCGGTATGAAATGGAGCCGTTGTTAGGGTGCCAGGATATGTTCACGTGGCGCCGGTACTCTCGAAAGCGATAGGGCCCTGGTAAAAGACGATTCTCCTTTAGTCAATGAACAATTTATAAATAAATAAAAATAAATAAATAAATTTATAATAAATAAAATTTCTATAATAAAAGTAGCCTGAGTTACTCCTGAATACATTAGCTATCTGACATTCAGAGTCCCGTCAAAATCGGTCAGACAGACAGACAAAAATTGTAAAAAGGAAATATTTTGGTATGTGTACTGTATATAATTTTTTATGCATTTAGTAAAAAGCGGTTATTTTAATATTATAAGCAGACACTCCAATTTTATTTATTTGTATAGATTCTTTTATGTTATCTTTCAAACGATTTAATAATGGCTCAATCAAGAATTCCTCCCACTTTATGAATATTTAATTTGAGTGAAAAAAAAACTTGTTTCAATAGTGCATTATCTACGATTACACAAGTCCATAATTTCATTAAGAGCCAACTCAATTGGATCTTTTTCCTAAGGAAAAAAATTAAACGGCTTCTCAGAACATCTCGGAATGTAAAACGTTATATCGTTGCAGGTATAATTTTTGGTGACCACAAAATAAAATATATATATATATATATATATATATGTTATAGTGAGTTTTGTACATAACTCTACAATTGAAAGAAATTAACAATTTATAAAGTTGAATGTTCAACAGGTACAACCAACACTTGCGTATATATCGTACTTACACTGTGGGAGTCAACTTTGAGTTTAATGTAAATTTTAAAGTGACATTCTTTATGTGTCTGTTTACTTCCTCTTAAATATACTATAACAAAAACATAAATTTGTTTTTCCTCATTTATATCACTTATCTTATTTGCAAATTGGCCATTATACTAATGTCATTGTATAAGATTATTTCGACTTTTTGTGGTGTGTCAGCTAGAAGTTTGTTGTGGTAGGTTGATGCGACAGATACAAATACGAGCGTGCAGTGGAAATGTTATACTTTTGGCCGTCTCGTGAGTGATTTAACTAAATACTATTTGAAATCCATCGATTATTTCGTCCTCCCCTATGAGCATGGTGGAACCAACACAACGCTTATAAAAATAAATAAGTATCCACTACCAATAGTTAAAATCAAATTTGTAAAACACGATTATGACTATCGTAGTTCTGAACGTTATAATGTTCTTGGTAAAAAAATACGAAGTGAAGATTTATCTAACTATAAGAAAATTGTAACAACAAATTTGCTTACTTACTTTCTTGCTACACTGAAAATCTGTTCTGTAAATCAGAGGAAGGAACTGATTTCGGACAAAGCTTACACTTTTTCAGGAATCTCAATCATATCTTAAATAAACACCACAATGGCAATATATTCAATAAACTATTATTATAACAATTTAGATTTGTCTAAACGGAACTGGGCTGTATTTAGAACTCGTAACAAATTTTTTTGGACTTAAATGTGCTACCCTTTTGACCCTAATTAGGCAATGAGCTACTCTTTTGACCATAATTAGGCAGATACAGTTGTTAGCTGTATAAATGACCCTTTCATCTATTGCAAAGTGACTGGCGATAAGCCTTTTACCCACGCTGAACACAGAAGCAGTTATTCATCCGAAAAATACGTCGACGTCACTGGGATATAAAATCTCATCATCACCAATTTTAGGTCAGAGCATCCAGCCAGAGCACCATCATCGAACTGTTCAAACAGTTGTACATGGGCGCCGTAGAGAGTTTGAGATGTCGGAAACTGGAAACAAAGATTTTATTCCGAATTCCATGAGATAATTTCCTACAATTAAATCCTAAAATTACTGGCTCGTAAACGCGAACTCATTACCGACGTCATGTCACTCACAACCAAACATGGTCACCCTGTCCGCAATTAAAAACCGAAGCTCAACCATTTAAACGACCCGCGGAACGGCACGTAATTTGTTTTAGATAAACAACACAAAGACCGGTCCAACCCAATGCAATTTCGTGGCAATTATAATTATGTTAGACAAAAAAATTAACAGTACCAGTTACAATAGCGCACTTTAACGAAATTAAAAATTGAAATTTAATCAAATAAAAGAACTGTCTAAATAACAACCGTTTTTAGAGTTCTGTACTCAACATTGGCGTATATAGCGCGGGAGCCGGGTGGGCGCCCACCCACCCCAGTATGGTCTAGTGCCCACCCCAGGATTTTGGGTTACCTATTCGAAATTCTAAACTATCACACCTATCCTTCATCGCCAAAAGCAGATTGAAGACGAGCGAGGCGAGCAAGTGAAATGTAGATATTGAATTTCTCGATCGTTTATCTACTATAATATGCATATATACTTTTTTTTATTTCTTTTTTAAAAACATTGCCCTCACTTTAGGATAATTTATTATCCTGTGTTGTAGACGTTTTACAAACATAAATTGCACGAGGACAAACATCCAGATGCAAAACAACTATCGCACAAATAGTTGTCCCGTGTGGGAATCGAACCCACGACTTCCGACGCCGAAGCCAACTTTGCAACTTGCCTTGACAACAAGCCTTGACAACTGCGCCACGGAGTCATCAGTAAACATGTAAACCTTCCACTTGAATATCTATTGCTGAAAATCGCATTAAAATTCGTGCGTTGTTTAACAGTTCTACAGTGTTCGATTTTTTTTTTGTAGTAAGGGCCCAGGCCCACCCTGAAAAATAGCCCTAGATTTTTTTTTATGTGAAAAGTTGCCAAAAAGTTGAGCAGACGGTTCACCTGATGTTCAGCGTTAACTGTCATTACGCACGCTACAAGGTGTCTGTGTTATTTAATTCTTTAAAAATTGATATTTGCCAATAGTGAAATAAGAATATATTATTTCACTTTGAAATCAGTTGATTCGCAAGCACAATTGTTATCAAGAAGTAATTTATGCGGAGTAAACATTAAAGACGTCTTAAGTGATATATGACAAGAGGTGATATAAAGTAGACTACTGTGTTATAGTTTAAAGTTTAATTGCAATAACTCGTTTGCCTTTTTAAACTTTTTGTGGTGAACATTTCGAACATACATAGTAAAATACAGTTAAGAGCAATTTCATTAGTATTCTAAAACAAATAACTAGGTAAACGTCGTCAAATAAGGTACTGTAAAGTTAGTGATAGGGCATGTACCGTCTGCTTTTAATAATTCAAAAGCATCCAACGAACTATATGCGAACATTGATAAGGGTTATCCAAGTTTTAACGCTTGCCTAACACTGCCAAAAAACTCAGTGGAAACATTGTAGTGATTTCTACCGCTATGACGGCGCCGTAGAACCGGAGATCGAATCCACAAAAAACTAACATTATTGACTATTTTTCCATTGGTGCTTATATTGAGTTCTGTAAAATCTATTTTTATTTTTTTGTATTTTTTGATTAAGTTTTGCCTTTTTTTGTTTGTTATTTTTGTATTATTTTTAATTTGTTTTCTTTTCTTTTGATAGAATTGAATTAGGATCAATTTACCTTAATTTGTACCAGAATTTACTAACATTAAAAAGAAAAATAAAGAGATACATAATATAATGTATTTGTACTTACATTTAATTGTTTAATTAACTGAGCTACCTTAAATAACATTAGTGTTAATAATTATTGAATTGTAGTTGTCAGGTTATTTTTATTATTATTTAGAAAAGAAAAAAAAAAGATTAAAACTGTGGTATTCAATACTGGAAATTGAGTGTATTATAAGTAGTATTTAGGACTTGATTTTCTTTTAGTTCCATTTATGTAATATTTAGTTTTTTCCTTTGTTAAATTAGTTAAACGTTGTTTAGTGTTATCTTTAAACATGAACTGTCTTAATTGTAAAAATATAATTGAACGCTCGGACTTATTAAAATGCATATCATGTAAAGGAAGTTACCATTACCGTTGTATGAATATTACATCAGCTGCGTTTAGGGAAAAGAGTCATGAGATGAAGCGCACATTTAAATGTCAAACATGTTCTAATGTAACACGACGCGTTCGAGTGACGGACGACACTCCGGTACGCAGCGCACAGCGTGCGGGGCTGGAATCTGGGATTGGTGGATTGGAAGTAGGTTTGGCCCATTCATTCGGCGAAACTCTAGTAGCAGCAGAAAAATCTTTATCGCCGAAATTTGAAAGGGAATTTGATATGCTTTCAATTACTAATGTTATAAACGAAACGATTTCAGCAAAAATGAATACGTTAGAGTGCAGGCTGGTTGAAACAATTAAGGAGGCTGTAACGCTCATTACTCAAGAAAATTTTCGATTAAAGACTGAGCTGGGAGAGGCTAAAGAAAAATGTACTCAATATCAAGAGGAGATTCTAGCCTTAAAAGCTAAATTAAATCACACTGCATTAGACAAAAATCAAAAGCAGGATATAAATTACCAACAAGTCCCCATTAGTGCAGTGGATCTGAAAAGAAAGGATAAATCCTCTATAGATTTACTTAATCCTATAACTTCACCGTTGGTTAGTTAACTATGGAAGAACAAAGTGACTTAATGAAGGATGGACTACAAAATCAGCCTTCAATATCAATAATCCGGTAAAGAAGGGAGGTAACACCTCAATTTTAAAAATTAAGGCACTTGAGAGAAAAAAATACTTTCATATATGGAGATTGGTTACAGAAACAACGGAAGAAAGTTTATTAAGCTATATACGTGAAGTATTAGAAGATGGCAGCTACATTACTGTAAACAAAATAAACCACAAAACAGACAGGGGCTACTCCTCCTTTAGAATTTGCGTGTTGGAAGAAGATTTTGAAAAACTATGTAACCCAGATATTTGGCCTAAAAATGCGGAGTTTAGTGAATGGATATGGTTTCGTAGATCAAACAACAGCACTAAGACCCAAACAACAGAATAAAAATATTTATATTTGATATCAAAATGTAAGAGGTTTGAGAACAAAGACTACAAATTTTCTGTCCCTTCTCGAATCATCAGGATGTGATTTATTTGCCATTACGGAAACGGGATTGAATGAATCAATTTACAATTCCGCACCGAATTTGGAGATGCGCAAAATTCTGATACCTGACGACATAAATATAGACACATATAAGTTTGAATTAACCTCAGCTGCAATTTATTCAAACAGACGCTTTTTATTTATTTGTTGTGTGGTCTACATTCCACCACAGTCTAATGATAATGATTTTGTTGTATTGTTTAATTTATTGGAAAAAATATGTATTAAATATAACAATAATGTTGTAATTTTAGGGGATTTCAATTTATTTTCATGTAATTCTAATGTACGCAATATTTATGAATATTTTGTAGCTTTTTGTGAACTTGTTCAATATAATAATATTCCTAATTGTAATGGTAGACAGTTGGATCTTGTATTAAGTGGACGCGAAAATGTGACTGTGCACCTTGGAGACGAAGCGCTACAGCCTGTTGACGCCTATCATCCTCCACTTTCCGTTTCCATTTCCATATCCTCATCTGGTCGTCCCTCCTTAAAAGAAATTGAAGATTCACATAAGGCACTATTCAAGCGTTGGAATTTTAATAAAGCAGACTTTACGGAATTATATTATAAGATGACAACCATTAATGGAGCAACATGTACAATTTAAGTGATCCTAATTTAATTTTAAATACTTTTTATAATAAAATAAATGAAGTTTTTGAGGCTAGTGTGCCTTACAAATATGATCAAAGTAGTAGTAAGTATAAATATCCTCTATGTCCCTTATTATTTCTTTTGTATACCACAAAAGAAATAATAAGGGACATTAAGCTAAAATATAATTTACACAAAAGATACAAACAAAGTAAATTAAGAAGCGATTACGAGGCTTTCTCTCGCTGTAGAGCAAAAAATAAAGAGGAGACATCACTTGCTCACGATCGTTATCAGAAACGCGTACAAAATCATTTAGCAGCCGATCCTAAGGCTTTTTGGACATATATTAAAGCAAGGAAAGGTAACTGTAATCAACAAGAAATAGTAAAAAATGGGCGAGTCCTATCAAATAAGGAATGCGCTGAGGAATTCGCAATATTATTTCATTCGGTGTATAAACCAAAGCAGCCTATACTGGATGTTTCGGCGGCAAATGAAGCGGGAAAGGGAAGCTCGTGGGTGCATCTTACACCCTTACAACCAAATGATGTTCGACGCGCGCTTACACGACTGCTGCCTAAACGATCTGCAAGAGTAGACGGTATTCCACCGTATATTTTTAAAGACTGTCGCTTCATCTTGGTGGAGCCTTTGTTGCATCTTTTTAATGCCTGCATAGCTAATGCGAGCTTCCCGGATCAGTGGAAGATTACTAAAGTAGTTCCAGTACCGAAAGGACGAGGAGATCAACAACTTATTAATTTCAGACCCGTGGCAGTCCTTTGCACGCCAGCTAAGATATTTGAATCGGCAATACAAAATTCTTTGTATAGGCAGATCGAGCCTCAGTTAACGGATGCACAATATGGCTTTCGCCCCGGCCGTGGAACAACGGGAAACCTGCTACATTTGATGACTTACTTAGTACCAGCGATAGATGCAGGAAAGCAAGTTGATGTGGCCTATTTTGATTTTCAAAAGGCATTCGATACCGTAGACAATGATGTATTGCTAAGGAAATTAGCTGCTACAGGATGTACATCACACACGCTGACCTTCTTTGCAAATTATTTAAGAGACAGACGCCAGTATGTTGAATTTAAGGGATGTCGATCAGAACAATATTTTGTGAGATCCAGTGTGGTGTAAGTCAGGGTAGTAATTTGGGGCCCCTCCAATTTATCATCATGATCAATGATCTAGTGGATGTGGTAAAAAATTCGACATGCCTTTTATTTGCCGACGATATGAAATTGTTTCGCAGAGTGGAAGGCACCATGGATCATATTAAATTACAACGTGATATTGATGCGGTATACAAATGGAGTATAGAGAATAAGTTGTATTTTAATGTAAGCAAATGCTCATTAATATCGTTTAGCCGTTCTAGTACCCCGCGTTGCCACAACTACTGCTTGGGAGGAGAATCACTTAGACGTGTCTCCGAGATAAGAGACTTGGGTATTCGTTTTAGTTCAGACTTGAGATTCCGTGAACATATTGTCGAAACCTGTAAAAAGTCGTACCGACATCTGGGTTTCGTCTTAAGACAATCGAGTAAATTCGATAACATAAAAGCTATAAAAGCCTTATATGAAGCCTTGGTAAGGAGTCATTTGGAGCATAATGCTGTGATATGGGCTCCACATGAAAATAAATATAAATATATGCTCGAACGTATTAATAACAAATTTGCTCGATTTTTGTATTGTAAATTATATGGAGTGTATCCGGGTTATCCTGTACTATATCCTACTTTATTTGTTCTGGGTATGGTAGGATATAGTACACTTGAAGTGAGGAGGGAGGTTTTTCTAGCCACGTACCTTTTTAAGGTATTGCGTGGCAAAATAAATCATCCGATTCTATTGCAGCAGATGAGGCTATGCGTACCAGAAGGATATTTGAGGAGGAGGCGCGGCCGATGCTACTATCTGTACCTAGGTCACGGATTAATTTATTACGTTTTTCACCATTGACTCGCGCGTTTTGTACTTTAAATACAGTAGCTAATGAATTAGATTTATTCCATTGCTCATTGAACGAGTTCACATTGGCTACGATCCATGTTCTGAGTGCTTAGTTTTAGTTTTAGTTATAAGTATAGTTATATGTTAAATTGTATTCGAACTTCACTATCGCATTAGGTACAGCCTGTAATGATAGTTGTAAGTTGATGTATAAAAATAAATAAATAAATGTTAAGTTAATCTGCTACACCCGAGGGTTTGCAGATGCGTTGACAACCTTTTTGGAAATTGGGCTCCGGCTACCTCACTCACCAGACTAAACGCGAAAGTATTTGTCATACTTCCACTTTACGCTGGTCTTCTGGGAGGTCGTGGAACTTATCCGGACGAGCCTGCCCATTCATGCAACAGCCGAGGCTGCTGCGTGGCTCTACCACCGTTAAAACTTAGATACGCCAATGGTACTCAAAGGCTAAAACGGTAAGACTCAGCTGTCTGTCTGTCTGTCAACAGGTTGTATGTATCTCATGAACCGTCATTGATACACAGTTGAAATTTTCTCAGATGATGTATTTCTTTTGCTGTTATAACAACAACTACTAAAAAGCAGATTAAGAAGATATTTAAGTGGGGCTTTCATACAAAAGACATAATTCTTTTGCCGTTTTTTTAAAATAATAGATAGTACGGAACTTAAATTGCTTGAATTTATGTGGAAATGTATATTAAAAACACAAAATAACTTCGGGACCCTAAAATCTTTAGCTAAAATGATGAATGCAATTATCTGGCCTATTTATTATTCGAAACGTTACAGTATGCGTTCTTCCGCCCAACAAAAATCTAAAAATTTAAGGAAGTGATTTTTCTCGGTTAGTAATAGTCTATTTGTAATAGAAAAATTACTGAATCCACTGAAAAGATGAAAAAATACATACATACACGGAAAAAAAATATTATAAATTAAAAGTCTAATTAATAAGATACCGCAGTGCCGGATTAACCACGTAGCAAGAGTAGCAATTGCTACGGGCCTCACGCCAATGGAGGCTCCACGTATTTAAACCTACTAACCTCTGCCTGAGCCTTAATTATTTGAGTGAAACTTATCACATAAGTAAGAGCATTGGATTGTTTTTTACCACTTTACACTTAAGTCTTGATCTGAAATAAGTTCTATGAGATCAATCTATGGCTGTTTGAAAGAATTTGCCACAAGTCACGCGTTCGCTTAATCAGGCACTGATAACACCAGCTTAATTGTGCTACGGCAAATTTACAGTAGCTTAGATATAACTTATGACTTCCTTGGATAAATTAAATTCGTATTTTTTATGCAAATATTCAATGACGTGTTGTAGAATTTTAAGTGAGCTTCTTGTTTAACATGAGCTGTACTTACTTCAGAGTATATATTGGCAACAGGCGACTGGGTTATGTATTTGTTTCTCTTCACGAGGATTGAATTCCTCGTACACGTGCTTCGTGGCCAAGGCGTACGGTGATCAAATAATCCGCGCAGAAACTGCAACTCACCCACTTCCACCAGGTCGGGCACTTCGGCGGGAAACATCTCTGGGTTGGTCCAGTTGAAGAGGTACACGTCGAAGTATAGAGGCACCGTCGGCTCCACCCAATCGCGGAAGGAACGGGATGTCGGCGTCATGGTCATTTGCTGCGGATACAAGGGTCACGGTTAGGATTCTGTGTCGCAGTCGGCGCTTGGGTTCGATTCCCACACGAGAAATCTGTTTGTGTCTGTCTGAGACCCACAGATAACTGCTTCAGATCTGCGTATTTGTCTATGTGAAATCTAAGTATGTAAAAACGTCCATACAGCACAGGAGAATCCTTACTAATATTATAAAGGCGAATGTTTGTGTGTATGGATGGATGATTGTTACTCTTTCACGCAAATACTAAGGAATGGATTTTAATGAAACTTTGCAATATTTTTTTTTATTTATTTAAAGAGGTTTATCAACAATTGTTTACACTGGATACATCTTAAAGCTTACAATAAATAACTTAAGATTAAACATATGTTAGTGTAACAATTACTTAAAGATAAACACCACATGTACAAATAAAACTATAAAATTAAATCAAAAATAAATTAAACAACTAAACTAAATTTAATAGTAGACTATGCACGGGTAATCAACAAAACAACTTTTTTTACGATTACTGATTAATATTGTTATTGGCTAACTAGACAAAGAGCTATACATAATTTTTTTTATTTTTTCTAAAGAGTCATATTGAAAATCAATGCGATCACTGTAGTCGTTGATAATTTTACAAAAATTTGCAAAAGGAGAGTTACGACCTAAAACTGTTCTTCGTAATGGAGGACAAAGCGGTGTGATGGCTTTGCGAGGAATTCGTGAAGGAACACGGAAATTAAGAAATTTTAGCAGTTGATGACTATCGATTTTGTTTTTTAAGATTTTGCTTACAAACTTCGCATCATTAACTATTCTTCTACTTAACAGTGAGTTCATTTTGAAATATTGAAGTCTGTTTTTATATGACCGTAAAGTTTTAGATTTTCCCGCAGAGGAAGACAGGTGCCACATAAATCGCTTTTGTACTCTCTCTATGCGCAGTGAATGTGTAGCGTAGTGAGGTCGCCAGACAATACTGCAGTATTCTAATATACTTCGGACTAGATTGTTATATAATAAAACTTTTGTTTTGTAGTCCTTAAAATATTGACAGTTTCTTATAATAAATCTTAATACCCTTGATGATTTTTTGATGATGTTGTCTAAATGGGGGCCAAATGTTAATTTTTGATCGAAGATCACTCCAAGATCCCGTACCGTGTCGACTTCTTTTATAGTTTTATTATTAATATGATAATCGAAGTTTATTATTTTGCGTTTTCGAGAAAATTTTATATGACGACACTTTTCAGGGTTTAAATCCATTTTGTTAACTTTGCACCATTTAACAAGTTTATCCAGATCGCCCTGTAACAGTGCAGTGTCCTGCTCTGCCTTTACTATTTTTAAGAATTTCAAATCATCGGCAAACATGAAAACTTCAGAGTGAGAAAAACATTACGGGATGTCATTAATGAATATGTTGAAAAGTAATGGACCCAAATGTGAGCCTTGCAGCACCCCTGAGGTGATAGGTTGTACTCTAGATTTATAACCATTAACAACGACGAAAAATTGCCTACATTCCAAATACGACGCGATCCATTCCTCAAAGGAACTTGACAGTCCATAAGCGCGGAGTTTAGAGACCAATAGTTGATGAGAAACTTTGTCGAATGCCTTGCTAAAATCTGTGTATAATACATCAGCCTGATATCCTGAGTCAATTGCTTCGGTTAACACTTCAGTAAAGTGGACTAAATTTGTATTTGTGGATCTTGAATTTATTAATCCATGTTGAGGATCACTTAAGTACAATTTCAAGTGATTCTGTAAATGAGCTTATAGACACCTACAGTACAACTTCAAGTGATTCTGTAGATTAGATAATATAGCTTATACATCAGAATAACACATTGGCTATAACTTATATTTTATGTATATCTTTCTTTCTGGCAGAATGTTACGCCTTCAGCCTATTCTACGCAGACGTAGTCGCAGGCATCAGCTAGTCTGCTATATATATAAAAATTTGGTGTCACCATGTTCGCGATAAACTCCGAAACTAGTGAACCAATTTGTATCAAATTTTGTAAGCATTTGTAATTTGGTCCACCTTGGGAGATAGGGTAGTTTTTATCTCAATTATTGATCTCAATATTTGTTATTGCAAGTTATTTGTATATGAGATGAAAAAGAGCTATCTCTGAGTTCCATAAGATTCTAACAGATGGCGGTGTAAGATAAATTTATCGGCTGGATTGAGTAACTATTCGATAGATGGCGCTATTCTAAAAGTAGAAACGTTTGGACCCGGTAGAATTGGCGCAGACAAAGTTACGCGAGCCAGCTAGTGCTATATAAAGAGGATCAGAGTGTAAGTTAAAGATCTAGTCGATCTGCACAAATCGCCAATCATAATAGCCAAGCTTCTAGTCTACCATGGCTCTGATTATAAAACCTAGGGTAGTGTGTACTATATAGTGTAGTTCTATATTTTAGCTAATTGTACAATATAATACAGCAAAATCATAAAATGCGAAATGTGATACATTTTCATCTGTTACACCTCTCAAGGGGAAGTGAAGAAAAGAAAAAAGTTTACAAAAGTATAAACGTGCAATGTAAGCGCAAAATGGTGCAAAAAAAAGATAGAGTATTTATTAATTATGGATCGAAATGGAACTTTGCAGGCCGAAGCAAAAAGCAATAATAAGTACGCATGGAAAAGGAAATATTAAAGTACATAAATAATTATAAATAACAAATTAATTAAATAAATAAAGAGATATAATTGTTTACTATCATATCCATAAATTCCCTAATAGACTAATGCTAAAAAATAATAATGGTATATTTTCTTAAAAATAAAACCGGCCAAGTGCGAGTCGCACTCGCGCACGAAGGTTTCCGTTCCATTGTCTATAAAAACGGCAAAAAATCATGTTGTATGGGAGCCCCACTCAAATATTTTTAATTATTTTTTTTCAGTATTTGTTGTTATAGCGGCAACAGAAATATATCATTTGTGAAAATTTCAACTGTGTAACCATCATGATTCATGAGATACAGCCTGGTGACAGACGGACAAACAGACACAGCGGAGCTTTAGTAATAGGGTCCCTTCTACACTTTGGGTATGGAACCCTCGTGCCCCTAGTTCCCAATGACGAATGTTTGACAGTAGTTTTTAACAGTACCTGTGAGATTTGGCTATAGGCAACAAATTACAATGATTTTAATAAACTAATAGAATCGCTAAAATATTGTGATAGAATATTTTCCGAATTTTCGTTGTTCATAGACGAAAGGCTCGCGTGTCTAGGTTATTAAATAGCTCCCAGGAGTAATTTTATACGAAAAGGCCATGCGATGATTCTTGCTGTGATATCCACTAACTCTTTTACATCTCGAACCCTAAAAGGGTGGTTAGCAATAGTTAATTTACATCGCTGAAATAAATTACTCCCAAAGTAGTAGTACCGTAGTATCTTTATAGAAACATCGAACTTACCACCCACTTCAACTAAACACTGAGTTTTGCATAAGAAATGTAATGATTGGAATCATAATTGGTAATAAAACCCATTTTTGTCCAACATTGATTCATACGAGAAAAACTACTGCAAACTTCTCGCCCCACATTATCCGAACTGCCAGCAATATAAAAAGGTCAAGCGTGATGATGACTCAGTGACGCAGGTACTGGCTTTGGTGCAAGGGGTCGTCAGTTCGATGCCCAAATGAAACAAATATTTTGTGGTCACAGATAATTTATTGTTTCGGATCCATGTATTTGTTCCCAAAAAGGGTTCTTACATTCAGGCAGGCGGTCGGTCGAAAAAACGATGCCGATACTATTAACAACATGATTGAAATGCTCTGCTGACCCCATTAAGGTGGGTTAAGAGCAGAGGAGAGGAGAAAGAAGTAAAAAGGCTTAAAGTTTAAGAGTTCCAACCGCCGCATATCGCAAACCTGCCAGTCTTACACGTGTCATCAGCTAGAACGAATATAATACTTCGGTCTATCAGATTAAAAAACTGCTTGGTAATGCCTTTTTAAAAAAGAAAAAATACGATTAGGTAAATATATTTTTTATAAATTTTGTTACAGTGTGACACCTATACCGTTCGTTATACTTCTATGTACGCGTATGTATTCTTTTATATTTAACTAATTCTAGAAACTTATAATTGGCGTTCTATATTTATTATACAATACTTTAATTATGTACTAGCTGTTAGTTTCCCTAAATTTGTAAAATAAATAAAGCTACGAGTAATTTTATCCCATTCATAGAGGCCATTTCCTAGAAAGAATTTAGAAAGAATTATGTAAGCTAAAAAAATAAATTCAACCCGATGAAATGCTTCAAGTGTTCTTTATAATATGGTAGACGTTGTCATCCAATAAAACAGTTCCGCTAACAATTCATGCTCATTAATTAGGGACTGATCGAAAAGTTAGCACAAGGCCTCAATTAACTCCGGGTCAATCGCTTGGTCCTCTATTTATCCCGAATCTATTATCAGCCGTAATTAGTGTCCAAGGTGGCTTATCCAGTGGTTAAGATATGACCACATCGAAGCGATATTTGAAAAATATTAACGAGCGATATGCCTAACATCGTAGATATAGATTATTTGACTTGTTTTTCGATCCGATTGCGCCATAGAATGAAATTGTTACGTGTTTTGACTTCTATTTTCGATATTATTATATTACTTGTGTCCGAAACAAAATCGTTGTGATCTTTAGATGTTCCATTCTCTATATGACACATACATAATTATATGCAATGAAAAATGTATTGTCATATGCATATCGTTATTTCAGTATCTGTTTTTCTTTGTAGACACATGAATTCTTGTAAACAGGGCCTTGGATGTTTAGCATTTACATGTTTTATCGGTGACTTAGTTATCTCTTAGTTATTGACAGTGCTAGGTCTTGTGATGAACTGTAAAGGTTGCTTAGTGTCAGTGTATCGACTTTTTTTACAAAGAACATCGTCGGGTATGCATATGATTCTTTAGTAGAGCCTGTGAGGCTTATAATATCCGTC